ATTCTCCAGGAAAGAAAAGGTGATACGGGGAGTTAGAGATTTAATATTTACTTCTTTTGTGGCAGTTGGTACTGGCTTCATGAGAACTACAATCACAGAACACTCTGAAGTGGCCCAACTCTAGCCAAAATAGCAACATGGAATCGCAGCATGACACTGGTGCCTTTGTGCATGTCTGGATACACAGAAAAATAAAGGAATAAGTGTCCACTTCAAGGAACAAAAGAGAATTTTGCAGTGTTGCCAATGCTCACTGTTTTAACATGAATATCGTATTTGGTGCTTTTCTTAAAGTCCGAGTTCCTAGAGTCACGTTATACTTAAGACACTCAGCTTTCATTTAAAGTAAGGGCTTGTCTACAGTTACTGAGGGATTGAGCAGTGGTGGTCGATTTAGCGCTGGAGTGGGCAAACTTTTTGGCCTGAGGGCCACATCTGGGAATAGAAATTGTATGGCGGGCCATGAATGCTCACAAACTTAGGGTTGGGTGCAGGAGGGGTTGAGGGCTGTGGTTGGGGGTGCAGGCTCCAGGGTGGGGCTAGAAATGAGGAGTTCAGGGTGTGGGAGGGGGCTCTGGGCTGGGGTAGGGGAGTGGGGTGCAGGGGGGGAATGAGGGCTCCAGCTGGGGGTGGGGGCTCTGGGATGGGGATGAGGAGTTTGGGGTGTAGGAGGGTGCTCTGGGCTGGGACTGAGGGCGGGAGGGGAAGCAGGGCTGGGGCAGTGGATTGGGGTGCAGGAAGGGGTGCAGACTCTGGCTGTGAGTGCAGGCTCTGGGATGGGGCTGGGGATGAGGGGTTTGAGTAGCAGGAGGGTGCTCCGGGCTGGGATTGAGGGATTTGGAGGGCAGGAGGGGGATCAGGCCTGGGGCGGTGGGGTTGAGGCATGGGTGCAGGTTCCGGGCGGCACTTACCTCAAGTGGCTCCCAGAAGCAGCTCCCTTCTCCAGCTCCTATGCGGAGGCATGGCCAGGTGGCTCTGCACACTGCCCCCATCCACAGGCACCGCCCTGTCCACAGGCACCATCCCTGCAGCTTCCATTGGAGCATCTGAGGGGGCCATTGGAGTGTGTAGGAGCTGGAGGGGGGACCATGCCACTGCTTCCGGGAGGCGCATGGAGCGGCCCCCAACCCTGCTCCCCAGCGGGAGCTCGAAGGGCCGGCTTAAAATGGCTGGGCCATATAGTTTGCCCACCCCTGATTTAGCAGGTCTAGTGAAGACCCGCTAAATCGACCGCAGATCGCTCTCCCATTGACTCCTGTATTCCACCTGACTGAGGACCCTACTTACTGTGGGGTCCACACTACGCGTTATCGATGGGAGACGCTCTCCTGTCGACATTGCATAGTGTGGACCCCGCAGTAAGTAGATCTAAGCTACGTCGATTTGAGTTACGCTATTCACCTAACTCAAATTGTGTAGCGGAGATCGAATTTCCCCTGTAATGTAGACAAGGCCTAAGTTTCTACCTTTCATGGGTTCAGAGAACAGCTTGCAAACATGAACCCTAAATACACAAAAACTAGAAGACAAAAACTGTTATTCTTTTAATGCATGATTTTGTAGCTGCCTGACTTTCGACTGGTTCAGGTTAGCCATACCGCATTTTGTAATTTGAAGGGAAAAAAACAACAATCATTAGGGATATTGTGACACATATTGCAACCCTGCACATTATCTCTTGGAACCACTGTATTATATTCATTAATGTTTTCTGTATGAACTGTGTTCTACTTCATGAGGGAGGGTTACCACAACTCCGAGAACTGAAAACAGTGTGTGGGGGTGGGTGTGAATACCCTGGGATTGTAAACGGATCTAGAGCAAAACCACCTGCTGGAATGGTTTGCATGTACTCATTCAGGCTGGGTGTTCCAGACACTACGAATCAAAGAAAGGGCTTATGGTATAAAAGGATGAACTAAATGACATGAGGTCTTCCTTTTGATTCAACAAACAGACAGGAGTTGGTCCTAGGGAAACCCCCAACCTGGAGGGAAGAGTTGGAAGGCATTGGCCTACCAAGGTCTGAAAGACTGATGGGCAATTTCTGATGTTTATTAGTAAGTGTATAGGAACTTTTTTTCAAATAGGTTTTCCCTCTAATGCTTTTGCCTTAAGAATAAACATGCTTGCTGAGAAAGCAGTATGGATTATTGATACAAATGTCATTGTCCTCAGAGAAAGCACAGCTTAGCTGCTGTCATTAGACAAACTGGCTTGCTGGGATATCACAATGTACAGCAGGAAATGTGCAGCCTTAAAAACCTCTGGCCAGAAAGGAGTAGGACACAAATCCCTGCCAAGAGACAGGTGATGGCTGGACTCCTGAAACCCGACTGGGCACTCCTGGAGTGGATAATGGAAGGGGAATATATGTGCAGTTACCCCTCAAACTGTGACAGACACATCGGTGAAGGCGTAAACCCCAAAAGAAACATTGCCTCATCAAACATTGTTAGAACATGCATTAGGAAGGGAATGGGCTGGCTTTATGGATTTAACATCTTCACGTAGAGGACTCATATGGCCATATCCACTGTGCTATGTTCTAATTAGCTGGTGCAAGCTAAACAGGGTCAGGGTGGGTCACATCTGGATAGGAGACTTCCTGGGAACATGTGGAGGAGCTGGTGCTTATGATTCAGCAGTTAGTACTGTTACGGTGGAGGTCCTGATCCTGCGAAGACTTACACACATGAATAACTTCATACCTGTGAACTCCTAGGGATGCTATTTATGCATAATTTTTTGTTGGATCAGGACCCAAATTAGTACTGAATTAATGGCCTCGTGTTAGAGTGTACCATGCTGCCTTGCAGATCAAGGCTTAAAAATGAGATCTCAACCACTTGTAGCAACTATTGCACAAGTACTGGGAGGTGGATTTAAATCCTGATGCCCTGCTGAAATTCCAGTTGAGATAGTCAAAAATCAAAGTGATAAGCTCAACCAGTTGCTAAATAGCTGAAAATACCTGACCCTGCTCTTATAAATTCTGCAAATATTTAAAACTTTTTAAAAATTGCATTAGTTTACAGTACTAGATTGGGCTTCTAGCAGTTAGAGACCAATGCAATAACCAACGACAACTGGCCATTAGTTTCAAAGTTTTATACTTGGTCATCAGTGGATGGTTGTGAGCGCATTTCCTGGCATTCCAGTATCAGCACCAGTTGAGGAGCCAAAGAAAAGCTTGTTCACATTACTATGCATTTATTTGCATAGTTAGAGATTGTACACAGATGAAATGATAGCTATGTGGGGTTTTTTTTTCTCTCATCAGCTATTCAGTATTAAAGATAGGATCATGAAAGATTAGATATCCAAAAGGTGAGGCAGTGAGCAAGTCACGATGACGCCCACAGAATAGGGATGTTAACAGATGAGGTTATGTATATCAATGGGATTATTATTCCAAACTCTGACTGCAGCAAGACAAAGTTGTTTCCCAGCACTTCACAGAAGATGAGTTTTCATGCTTGAGGAAAAAGTTGTAGCTTGCTAACCACAAATGCCTGGTGAACACGTCAAAGAAGAACTTCTGTTTTCCAATCTAGTTTCCACTGCAGTGTGGAATTGTATCATGATTAGCCATTAAGAAACTTCAGAAGTTACCATTTTTATAGGGAAGCAAACTCAAAGGATTAGATTAGAAGTCTTTAGTCTCCTAGTTTACTTTTTGGCTCTTTAACTATAGCTCTTAAAAAAGAAAACAAACAAAAACTCCAGAAGAATCTTACCCTTTCTTACTTCACAGATGTTTGCTTTTGATGTAAACAGGAAAATTAAAAAAAACCCAAAACAAAACACTGACGTTGCTTATCGTCCTCAGTTGATACTTTCCAAGCAATTGTATGGCCATCCTAGCAGAAATCTAGATTCAACATATTATTCATATGCATGCACCTCTGATTAAATGGCAAGGTCCAAAGTGAGCCATGACAATTCCAGAAACACTTGGGTGGCTGCATAATAATAGGTATGATTTGAAGACAAGGAGGCTGTAAAAGGATGTTCCCTTGGTGATACATTTGGTTTGTTCAATTGATGGGTCCTGATGTCTAATGAAAAAGATCTACCTTGACCTGCTGAGTCCAGGTCAGGTTTGCAGGGCTGATGAAAAAAAATGTCATTCATAATATGAGCAAATTTAATATTAAAAGCAGCGAGATACTCTAAAAATTATATGGCTTTTCATATCACTTTTCAGAGTAGAACTACAATCTAACATGATGATAATCAGGATTTCATGATGAGACCTACTTTTTTCCCCCCTAATATAGGATCTTCCAGAATAAATACTGTTCAACTCTCTCCCTTACCCTCCCCAGTTCTCAAAAGAAAGGCAATGAAATATGTACCAGTCTTAAGCACAAAACACTGCTTTGATTTTGCACTAGTATTCAGAGAATTTCTAAACAACTTCAGACACAATTTCTTGCTTGATGTGAATATGGAGCAGACAATTAAAAATAGTAATGGAAGGTGCTGCCCAAGACTAACACCACTAGTAGATAGATTGCAGGGAATCCAGATTAATGACGAACACATATATAGTACTGTTTAACTTGTGGCTTCCAATCCTATTTTGATTCAGGAGAGTTAGGAACAGGATAGCTATTCACCAAAATAAAAACTTGCATTTAAGAACTTCTGACAAATCAGATGACAGATCATTGTTGTACATACATAGTTGTAATACTTCTAATTTTTAGAGCAACACTAGTAAAAAGACTTCATATCTCATGCTTCTGAATTCCTCACTGACACTTGGGGAGAGAGAGGACTTAAAACATGTAGCTAACATATTGAGATGAGACTAAAGCCTGATTTTCAGATTTCCGAGTGAAATTAATTAGAGCTGTGGATGCTCAGCACATATGAAAACGAGGCCTGTGGTTTTTAAACCTGTTTTCAATGTGATTGGGCAGTTTGTGTCTCTTGGACAGAAACATTAAATGATAGCAAAAATTAAAAAAAAACAAACTTAGATTTGTATGTTCTAGTTTTAATAAATAAAATTTATTTAAAATATGTTTTATTATTTATTCACAGTTTCAAGTTTGAAGAGAGGATAATACTATTCTTGATAAAAAAATCAAAATACAGCTAACTCCATTTCACTCTGTGGTGAAAATGACATTCCAGCAAAGGCTAATATCCATGGAAAGTCTTGTATTGAAGCTAAAAAGGCACACATTTATATTTGTGCATGGTATTAACTGTAGTTAAAAAGGAAATATGTTTGCATATAAGGGAAATTTCTTTATACAGTTTCAGTTAACATTACTGGAAAAAGTCTTCAAATACCGCTTTGCTTATGAAATAACATTTTATACAAAAATATCAAACTGATCCAACTGTAACAGATTACATTTTTATGCTAAATATTTTATTTTGCATCACTGCAAAGCCCACGGCTTTTCAGAGAAATCAACTGTATTTCTTAAATGTAAAAGATTGGAAGTTTTACCTATAGATTTCCATTTTAGCACTTCACAAATGTAAAAACATTAATAACCAAATCATAATGGAGTTGTCATGGGATAGCAATGAACTCCTGTTTTTTCCCAGCTGTACTATGTTATAAATAGGCAATGCTTACCTCAACTTCAATAAAACTAAGCACCACATGGGACAAAGCTACTGACCCCATGTTTAACAAGGCACTGATATTTCTGCAATCTGTAGCAGTTTTATATTTAGCAAGTCACCGAATTTCTGTCTTATCAGCTTCACTGTTGAGTCAGCTGCTCCAGCAAATTTAAAATGACTTCTATTCTTGCTAGCAGAGTCACACTTTTGTTGGCAGTTGCACGCAATAAAAGGGAGTAAACTTGCTTGTTGGTCTTAAGAACTTCCTCCTCTTCATTACTGCCACTGAAAAAGGAACCATAGGTATCCTGAACTATTACATTGTATCAAAGCATAAACAATTACATTGTGCAAATACTGATTAAAACAGTGACTACCCATCAAAAATCTTCTTGTCCCTGGGATTCCATGACTCCTGGTTCTCCCACTACCTCTCTAATCACTCCTTCAGTGTTTCATTCCAAGTATCCACCTCACCCCTAACTCCAGCTTTCAGAAAGAGTCCTATGGGGCCCTGAGCCTCACCCTGTCATCTTCCTTTACAGTTTCTGGGCAGCATATGCACAAACATGACTTCAAAGTACCATCTCTATGTTAACTCCCAGAGCTATTTCTCCATGCTATACCGGTCTCCAAATTGAAATCTCAGCCTGCCTTTCTGACAGCTCTTCATGACTATTGAGCCACCAGTTTAAGCTCAATGGGGCCAACACAAAACTCAGTCTTTCCCTACACAAGCCCTTCTGCTTTCTCTGTCACCGTGGACACCACCACCATTCTCCCTGTCACTGTTATCTGGGCATCATCTTTGACCTGGCCCTTTCTCTAGGTCCTCACACCTAAGAAATGTCTAAATCTTGCATATTTTTCCTGCATAACATCTTTAGAATCTTGCCTTTCCTCTCCATACACAGCTAAATGTGTCACTCAGTCCCTTGTCATCTTGTGTCTTGGCTACAGCAGCCTTCTCCTTTCCGGCCTTGACAACTGCCATCTTGCCCCACTTATCCATTCAAAACATTGACGCGAAGGTAATTTTGCTGGCTCATCGCTTCAACTGTATTACCTTTCTCTCTGAATTCCTAAACTGGCTTCCCCTTCTCCAGTACATTTATGCCACTTTAGGAAATAAAACTCCAAAAGCCAGTTTTTAAAATCTCAGAAAAATAACAATGTTGCCACTGATATTACAGGTAATATATGTGACTAGTTGGTTTAATTGTAAATCCATCAAAAATTGCTAAGAAACAAAGCAGCAATTAGTTCATAACATTTGGCACAAAGCGGTGGAAGGTTTATTTAACACAGAGAACAGGTATACAATAAAAAAAGCCACTGAAATGCAAGCTATTGCCAGGATAAATTACAAAAATGCCTGGGACAAAACATCACTTTGAATTACTATTCCCCTGCTTACAATTTTACACAGCCAAATTCAGTTCTGCTTAAGCACTTAATTTTTAAAGACGTCTTGCTTTTATGCAGGTTTATAGCCAGATTGTAACTTTTGTGGCTTGAGCACTGCAATTTCAAAGATGGGGTAAAAATTTCCCTTCTGCATTCTCCTTGAATGACTGCATCAATAACCATGGATCAGCAAGAGGAATTACTCAATTCCCACTCTGACCAAGCTAACCATTGCTGTGGAGGCATGGGGGAGGGTAGGCATTCCCCCCAACCCTATAGACAGAAAATGAACTGGGCATATACTATTTGCACATTACATGTAAAACGGTTAGAGAGAAGTGAATTTAACTTACCCTCAATGCACTTCTACAGTTTTTGAATGACACACATTAGCTGTATTAAGTTTGTATGACAATAGCATTCTGCTTTTATTTTGCAGACCTTGAAAAATTAAACACTATAACATAATTAAATTGAAGTGTATGTATCACGTATAGCCTATTAATTTAAACAGAATATTAGTGATTAGAACGGTAGATGGGAAAAGAAAGTCTAAATATTCTACTCTGACATCACACCCTCTTCAAGGCTATGAAGTATGATCGCACAAAACCAACACAATTACTAGTGTTAGTCAATTACCATACATGTCAATTTGTTTAAAAAAAGATTGATTATACTCTGGTCCTTGGCATTTTGTATATTTACACTGCCACCCTGTGGAAGCTTTTTTAAAAATTAAAGGCACCTTACTGCTGCTACACAAGAAAAAAAAGTCAGACTCTTTTCTAGTCTTTTGTCCTTCCACACACACACCCACCCCTCTTTCCCCCCTCTGCTTTATGGTCCTTGTATACAGGAGGATGGATGCTTCCCTAAATGGCATTTAGCCAAACAGCATCCAACATAATAGTACGTCAGCTGCTTAAAACCTGGCCAGCGACTGTATTCCAATGTGAAAATACAGACAACTGTACTTCGATCTTAATGCCAACTGTGCAGCTAATACAGCATTCAGCAATAAAGAAAAAAAACTGTCAATGTACATGACCCTGGAACTAGCTAGAAGAAAAGGTTTTGTAAACATGACTCCAAAAAGGTGATTTTTGCTATTTATGCTATTTCTGATGCTCTACAAGCTGCCATAGTATCTACATAGTCTCAGCTGATGGGGTCACCACATATTTGCAGCTGATGAGATAAAATGTATTTTCTGGGTCCCCCTAGGAAAAATTAAATATAATTACATCCAAGAGGAGTGATACTGGTGTCGGCAATTATTACACTGCCATGACTCTATTCAAGAGAGCCCCTGAAGGTCAACACAAAAAGAAAAAGAAAAAAAAAAAAGAAAGAGGCCATGTTTTTGTTTTGAATTAAATCCTAGCACTTAGATACTGTTTGAGAACATAAGGAAATGCTTACACAAAAAAAGGATAATCCTTTAGGCTGCCACACCAATACGTATTTTAGAAAATATTACAGTTCAACCTTACTAAGCATTAGCCCAAAATTTGCACATAAAAACATCACTTCATAATTTTTTAGCTATAGTGGGAACTTCAGCATACCCTAAATGTCATACTTCAAACTACATAGTCATCTGCTAAGTTCAGTAATTTGCAGTGGGTCTCCCAGTGTCTGTTCGCAACGTTCGGTCATAGGTGGAAACGTAAGGTAGACCCACCCATGTCAAAGGAAAGCACATCCACCCAACTTGCGGCACAAACAATATGTCACTATAGAAAGATGATGCCAAAGAGAGATTTTAGGCTACCTGCCAACAGCTGATTGCTGTGCAAGTTAGAGATGATCTCTGTACATGTGTATGCACATCCCTCCCTCCCCCCTGCACACACAAAACACACAGCTCGGGATGAGGGGCAGACAGAGAGAAGGAATGTCTGTTTCACCATGTTTCATAATCTACCAGGGACAATATAAAGTTTTGATCATTTTTCTTTTTGTTATGGCCTTTATTTTCTCTTCTCAAAATCTTACACAGCTCTTTGGAAATAACAGATACAAGAAGCTGCCCATACACAAGGAGCAGACAAGTTTTTTAGGTCATTCCCTCAGTTACACAAATCACAAAACAGTAAATTCTCAGAAGAGTAAGTCAGAGTTGACATGTAGCTTGATCATTTACACACACACACACACACACACACACACACACTCTTTCCAAAAAATACAAATTGCATATACAATTGCATTTTCTTGTGTGTATATAATATGTATAGATGCATCCTGGATTATATACATTGTAATTTTGCATTTTACCAAAGGTTAACAAGTCTCGACTTACCCAATTTTCTTTTTTGTTGATGTTAGCAATTTAATTGATTGGAGGAGGAGGAATGACAATCGAGATTCATATATAGTGAGAAGTTTTATTACTTCATCTTTATTAAGGTTAGAAGAGGAGTCACCAGGTGGTATCTTCTGATCACTACTTTTGACATCCTCATTTATCTAAAAAACAGAAAGGCATTTCACCTCACCCAGCTAGCAAACTATATTTTTTAAATCAGGTTCAAATAGTACAATTTCAATTTAATTCACTTGTTAAAATATACAATGTTAACGTCAAGATTATTATTCCATGCTGTTTATGGAAATTGTTTTGGTAATAACTTATATCAGCACTGACAGGTTTCAGAGTAGCAGCCGTGTTAGTCTGTATTCGCAAAAAGAAAAGGAATACTTGTGGCACCTTAGAGACTAACAAATTTATTTGAGCATAAGCTTTCGTGAACTACAGCTCACTTCATCGGATGCATTCAGCATTGTTCACCAGTTACATAAGGCTGGCTGTGAAATTTTTCAAAGTTGCTTTAATATGTTCTATGTACTCCATCAAATTTAGTTATGAAAATAATGGGAAAGCATGGATTTTGGTAACTGGTTATCAGATGGCACTGGCAATCTGAGCATGACAAACGTATCTCTGAATAAGTAAATATTGCTGCTTATGCTACCATCAGGATCCCTGTGATAGGGCTTAACTGCAAATGACCTTCCAAATTTTTAATACTTCAGTGACATGGTGAATCTTAGTGGACAAATATCAGCCTTGTTCAAAAGAAGTGTACATGCAACTCTCAGAGACTTCAGGGGATCCATAAGTGTACTATAGACGATGACTACTACTACTGGAAAGGAAAAACACGTCCCATTATACAGAAATACATCGGTCCTAATCAATCTCTGCAGAACTATGAGAATTCAGAACTACATTTCTCTTTGAAATTTTGGCAATTAGCTTTAATAAAACTACAGTTACGTCCAGTATTACTAGGATTACATTAAAACTTGTCTTATAAACTTGAATTCATCTGGCTGAGTTACAATATGTCACGCTAATAATATATAATGATGTTTGCATATACTATTTTTGTCCTCAACATTTTAATGCAGAACTTCAGTTCTACTTAGATCTCCAACTATTCCGGTGCTGTCTGACAAGGCAGAACTTGACAGGATTCTAGAATGGGTTTAGCCTCAAAACATAAGATAGTTTAACTTTTGCCTTCTCTTTGTGCCCATAGAAGGAAACATCAATTAGAACTGGTCAGAGAGGAGTATTTCTGGCATATATATGCTTATCCAGACACAATGAAGAGAATTTAACAAAAACCTGAAGATGAACTGTAATAACTTAATATTTAAAGAATAGTTCAATTACAATTTCAAAACCAGTATTTTATTCCCAAATGAACAGGTATAAGTGACTACACAAGGTTCAAAGCAATAGACAATCAGATCACTTGTCCTTTTGCTTACCTGTTCACATTCAGCTAAAAGCTCCTTTCTGATCAGCTGGAATGCACACTGGGTCTTTATCAATATGTCTAGAGCCCCAAACAGAGTCTTTAGTTTTCCAGCACTACTGTTTTGACCTAAAATTAGAAAGACATGAGCTCTGGACTAATACAGCTAATTTCATGCAAGGATTTCAGAGTGTCTTACAAAGGTATTACTATTTGTATTACTGTGGTGCCTAGGAGCCCTAGTCATTAACCAGGGTCCCAATCATTGTACACACACAATACAGACAGCCCCTGCTCAAAGGAGCTTACAGTCCGAAGTATAAGACAAGAGACAACAGATGGATACAGACAGGGGAGTACAAGTACACAATATAACAAGACTGGTCAGCATGACAGGCAGCGGTCTCAGCACTCCAGCAGCCTAGCTGTTGTCAAGATTGAGTTTTGTTGTTTTTTTTTCGGCAGGCATTGTGGAAAGAGGAGACTGCTAAGGAGGCATTTTAAAAGGTGGCTAATACTTATGGGGAGTGCCTCCCAAATGGGTGGGGACAACATAGGAGAAAGCACAAAGGTGCTTGCTTGAAAATTTCACAAGTGGGTAATGGACTAAAATAGGTCTTTCCCAGAATGTGGTTGTGTCCCAAAGCAGTGGAAGATTATTACTTTCTCAAAAAAATGGAGAAGTGGACAGTAACAATTTTAGTGTTGTTGTGGCCATGTTTGTCCCAGGATATTAGAAAGAAAAGGTAGTTAAGGAATATCTTTTACTGGACCATCTTCCATTGGTGAAAGAGATAAACTTTCGAGCTTACACAGAGGTCTTCCTTCAGGTCTGGGCTTGAAAGCTTGTCTCCTTCACCAACAGAAGATGGTCCAGCAAAAGATATTACGTTACCCACCTTGTCTCAGTAACAATTTTACTCTTTTTTGAGATTCTCCCACAGAGATTCTTTATTTGTAGTCCAACTTACTTGCCATCTGAAACTCTGCAAATGCTACTCTTTCCAACTGCACACGAAGGAGCTCACAGGGTGCATCCTTTAGGAGTTGAAAAAGCTTTACTGCTTTACTGTAATGAAGTTCAGCTAGTACTCGATGCTGTTTCCTTTGATGCTCATCGCCAACCTGTAACAGAAGTACATTATGTAGTAAGTGTTTAGGCATTCAGGTAACAGATGCAGTGAAAAAACTGCTTATGGGGGCAGATCACAGCCACAATCATTCCCCTGCTCAATCCACAATTATGAAATTTGGAAGAAAAAAAAATACAGGGTTGGCAATTTCCCAGGAAAAGCTAGTTTAAGAGAGTGTGCTGGTAAATACTCATTTAAACTAGAAAAAAAAATCTTAGAATATACTAATGAAAATTACTGAAAAATACTTAGCCATTTGATAACAGTTTTGCAGTAACAGAGTCTGTAATTTCAATTAAAGGAAATAAAACAAATAGCATACAACTTTAGATTGATGCTATTATCTTTGCTACCTCAAAGAAAAACTTCTGAATCTGGGAATTCCCCTTCTTTGTCCGGCAATGAAAATTATGTGTTTGTTTAGCAAATTAAGAAGGGAAATTCCCAGATTCAGAAATTTCAGTTTCTGTTTGAGATAAACTGCCCAGTCTAGTACTCTGCCTCTTGATCTGGCTGGCTGGAGTGCAACTACTTCACCTGAACTCAGTGAGGACTCAAGTCAGAATATTCCAACAGGAGCAAAGATGGAAGACCACTTGACCCAATTCATGGCTATTCTGAGAAAGTTCATGAAGATGGCAAAAAGAGTCTTAGATACAGAAATTAAAAGGAAAAGTGTGTGGAAAGGCAGACAATATGAAGAAATGTTATAGCAAAATGCAGTTGAAAGAATAAAGACACCAGAACCACTGACTTTGGCTGAAACGTATGCGAGTATCAGAATCAGACTGAGGATGAAAGTACAACTACTACTACACTGCCATTGCCAAGTACATCAAAAGAAAACCAGATCCACGTCGCCCAAAGACAATGAGGGTGAAATATCACTTTTCAAACATATCCATACGTGATTTTAAAAACAAAAAACTCTTTCAGAACCGAAACAAAAAGAAACTTGGGGGGGGGGGGGGGGGAATCATTTATTTATCTATTTTTACGGCTATATAAATAAAACAGGAAACGCTCCGCTCCTGCTCTCTGGTAACACAGAAACCTGCTCAGACTCTGCCAGTTAGGTAGCAATATTATGTAGTTTGTTTATGTTCCCTCCACCAATACCTTTACAGTTCCATGCAGCAATGCTATTTACAATGTCCTTTGTATCTTAATCCCTTACCTCAGGGTCTGAGAGGAGCAGACATCCAACTTCTCTGAGATAGCTGAGCCTAGACTGATGGCAATCCCTGTTCCTCTCCTCTCCCTCCCCCACCCCTTAGCATTTCCTTCCTGTCTCTTTTTATCAATCTTTAGCTGGTGTGCTAATTAATTCTTTAGCTCCCCCATGCTTCCCCACATTAATGGGTGCCAAAGCGATCAGAGTGCTGGCTTATCTGCTAGCGCCCAGCACTCTATCACACTGTAATATTTCCTTTTCTGTTACTGACCTTTTCTGTTTTCAAGGAATGATCAGCTGTCTCAGGCCAGGCTACAAAGCACTCAATTGAAAGCAGGTAGCAGATGAACGGTTAGACGCAGTTACTGACAACTTGAGTGTGGAAACACTCAATGAAATACATGAAAAAGCAGTTACATTATTACAAGATAGCTGGAGTAATGTTCACAATGACCCGGTGATAGCTAACTGTGTGCAGATAGGGAATACTGTGGTTTCTGCATCAGTGGTTGATAGTGGAAGCAATAAGACTGGAAAGTACTGTGCGACACTGACAAGAGAAGCCAAGGCATTAGCAAATGACTGCATGATTGTGATGCAAAGAGCTACTTGACAGACACAGAAAAAGATGCAAAGTATGGGAAGCGACTTGGAACAAGACATATGGGTTACGTACTGATGTGCATCACAATGGCTAAATCCACTTGGACAAGACTTTCATCAAATCATTTGGTGTAAATGTTGTAGATTTACAAAAAAATAAAAATCTGTAATCACCATCAGCCTGTAGCCTAATTAAAAGGCCAAGCATCTGTAAAACCCCAAATTCCTGGTGACACATGATGAAAGAGTCAAACGACATGCCTGGAAACACATTAAAACCTGGCTGCATTATTTCAGGATTAGGAGTGATTATGAGGCAGACCGTTAAGACAAAGTGGACAGTATAATTAATAATTAAGGAATTTACCAAGAAGCAAAGACCTCGGTCAATTGAAACCAGTTGCTCTGGCACTTGACACATCCCAAAGAGACATATCAACAATTGCTGTTGTACGTGAACAATGATTGATCTACTGATGAATGAAGATCTTGCACCACACAAAGCAAAAGTACAAGAGAGATTGCATGAGGCAATTACTCCTCCACACGTCTTGCCCATCCTCCTTCATCCAATACACACAGGAAAGAAATGCTCAGCTGAACAAGAAGAAATTGCAAAGCAGTGGCTGCTCAACAAAAATTATAACTTTCTCCCTTTACTTGAATTAAAGTAGAAGCTCTGAATCCAAAAACAAATGTTCTCACCCATTATCAAGGAAAAAAGTTTCCGCTGTAACAAAGGTGGAAAAATCTGAAGAATGATGATAATCCATCTGACTTCATAGCACTAGTTTAGGACAAATCTTTTCAAACTTTGGATACATTCATTCAAAACTGAGCAATAGGTTTGGTCTATCCACTACACCAGAGTTGGTCTTCTGCTCCAGAATGCTGCGTGGCAAAACGAACCTGGACTAGTAGTCTGCAACTCTGCATGCTTCTGACTGCTTAATGTTTCAAACCTACAACTCTGCGTTGTTGTTGTTTTCATATAATGAAATTGGCTTTTCTTTATATAATATTGAAAAACTGAAATGAGTCATGACATTTAACTTCTTTGAGAAAACATCAAACCAAAAGTATACAGACATTCCCATGTTTAACATTATAATTATATATTAGTATGTCCACTGAAGATTTATGTGTACAATCCTAAATTAATCTCTGAATCTACTGCTTTATGTAACCACAATTTGAATCCATATGTAAAACAGTGTAGTGTGTGTGCAAAAGCAAAATAAAGTTAGAAAGCAACAAGCACTTTTTAAACCACCATTTCTTTATGTGATAAGCAAAACAACCCACTGCTATGAATACCAACCTTCAGCAAAAATAAATAAATAAAATTGGATAAATGCCATAGAAGGCAAAGAAACTGCCAGTCTTCAAAGAGATCAGAATGTGTCTTATTAAACTTTTATACCGTGGTAATGCTAGAGGCCATGACCAGGTTGGGCCTCATTGAATTAGGCAGCATGCAAACACCGTGACAGCCCTTGCTTCAAAGAGCTAGTAAATGTCATAGGTCAGGATTTGTAAACAAAAATCCACTTCAGATTACAATCATTAAAAATATCACACACACATGTATATATATATAACACACACACACACACACACACACACTGCATACTCTCCATTATCTGACTAGCATGGAGGGCACGGATTATTAGGTTAATCAGGTGTTCAGATAATCGAGAGAGCAGGAGCCATTCAGCAGCGAGGCGGCCTTCCCTGTAACCAGGGGCTCATCATCCTCCTTGCAGTCTTACCCTGGATTTTCTGCTCTACCCAGCTCACTCACTTCCTTAACAGCATGGCTGCAGAGGGATCCCCTGCACTGTCACGAGACCCCTACATTCATCAGATGTGGGCAGAACAGAATTCTCCTACCCCCAGCCAGGACTCTGCTCTCCCTTCCAAGACCACAGCTTCCCCCTACCGCATCTTAGCTATCACTAGCCCTGTGGCAGGACACGAAGCCCTCCTACAGCTCTGCTGTCATGCCCCTGCTGACACTCCTATGACAGGGGCTGCAGAGCGCTCTTTGCACTGCTGCAGGAGCCATTCAGCAGCAGGGGGCCTCCCTCATGGTCAGGTTCACCGTCCTCCTCTTGGTCCTGGCCAGGGGTTTCTGCTCTATTATCCGAAATGCTGCATTATCCAAATCCCTTCCTTGTCCCCCAGCATGAGATACATGATGAACAAGGAAGGGATTTGATAATGCAGATGTTTGGATAATAGGGTTTCAGATAAACAGGAGTATAATGGACACACTGTATTTATATTTGTGTACACACACACACACACAGCACTCCTCGTCAGTACCCAGCCTAAGCCGGGGAAGCTAATGAGTGGACCAAATCTGATGACGACTCCTGGTCATGTGCCACCTGAGACATGTTGCGCATATGCTAAGAAGATACAGAGCATAAATTACAGCATACAAGAAAAAAAAAAAATCTACAATGCTACTCAATATTCTGGACTATTACCTGGTTTCTCAAGCAACTATGATACATGGAAGCCAGTCTGTGGTGAATAGTTGCAGCCCGATACTGGCAGAGGGGTTGTCGTGCAGACTCTGTATCAACATCACAGTATTTCAAAGATTTCATCATGGCCTCACTAACTTCCTTCTCTATCTACAAAAACAAGATTTCACGATGCAGTGTCAAAACATTTACTTTGAAATCATGAAGACCCAATATAAAAGAACAGGTTGTAGATGTTTACATAGCACTTTATATTTTAGTTTCTACAAAAGAAAAAAAGATACGACAATATAACCATTTTACAGTGTACTCTTCTTAATGTGCCATATTCTGTTAGCAATAACTGCTACACAACAGTTTTTAATCATATAAAGATTTACAAGTTATGTATCCACTTTGGCTCAGAGCAGGAGTTCTCTACCATTCCGCTTGTTCTCCACAAAAAACTGAAGAATGGTTTGTTTCAGTGGATGTTGTTACAAATCCTCCTTCATTACCTGTTCCTGAGCCTTTCTAGATAATGGTGCATAATCCTGCTGCAAAGTTGCCATAGTAAAATAGGTAGTGGACAGTTCCCAGTTCACAGAATCCCAGACTGCTGGATGCATCTCTCTTTTGCCCAGTGATCTTAAAGCCTTCAGATAGTAATCAATAGCCTATAAACATGTTGTAAAGTAGTAGTTATTGACATGGGTTTATAGTATAGTGAGTGGCAACAATCCAGTATGCTTTACTCATTCTAATACGGAAGCATTTCACAACTCATCTGGACATTTTCTTAGCATTTTCCTCAGAACCATTTTTGTAATCTATTTAAATCATGCATCTCCTACATCTAACAACTGGCAATACCATGCAAATACAAAATTGGAGTTTAATTCAGACTAAAAATATACACAACACAAATTACGTTTACATTACAGTGTGCAGGTATGGAAATGGAAGCAAAATTAAGCAATAAGAATGAAATCCTTATCTCCTGTGTAGAAGGGAGGCCTTGGTACAAGGTAGCTACACACGGGAAAGGACAGAATCCACCCAATCCTGGAAGCAGAGTACATTATACAATGAGCAGCTAGCCCCCACAAACATGGGACATGTGGTGTACTTTAGACACTCCCTAGTCATGGTCCATCCAGCTTCCCTGTCCACCCATAAGCCTACCTCCAACATGATACTGCAAAGACACTGCTTCAGAGCCAAGCTTTATGTACAGGAGGCTGCAAAGGCTATCCAGCTCTTTTTCCTGCAAAAATGAACTGTCCAGTTTAGATATTTTGAGCTCTGAGGCCAGGAGGATTTCTGCCCAAGACCTAACACACTGAGGACTTGTTTATACAGATACTAAAGATTCCATAGCATTATTCACAAGAGTTGGAGGGTTCAGTCCCAGTGTTCAGGACAAAAAGGTCCCTCTATCTTAAAAAGTGCTGTCAAATTCTACTTTAACAGTATATCAGTGGTCTTCTATGTACTTTTGGAAGCCCTGAGAATCCTTTTGAATTAAAAGTGCTACTTAAGTTATTTTCTTCTGAGATCTTTACCAATCAGTTAGCAATGAGATGGAGAAGACTGAATGTCCCCAGCTTCTCCTAGTAGCTTAGGGATCTGTCCAATCATTAAATGAATGATGCAAAATCTAAAAAGGACAATATTTAACTATAGCAAGGGTGATCTTTAAGTTCATTGGTTATAGTGTTTCCATCAGATATGTTCACAATTTTTGCTCTCCTTTCACTGAGGTCCTAAAATCCATTAAGGACTGTTTTATAGCTAATCTGAAAACTCAATTTTGAATGCATTTTTTGAATGTTTAAAATATAAAATTTTTGGTTCCTAAAAAGAGGGGAAAAAAAAGTAGTTTAAAGAGTTAAATAAAAAGAAAGGGAGTACTTGTGGCACCTTAGAGACTAACCAATTTATTTGAGCATAAGCTTTCGTGAGCTACAGCTCACTTCATCGGATGCAACTCATGAAAGCTTATGCTCAAATAAATTGGTTAGTCTCTAAGGTGCCACAAGTACTCCTTTTCTTTTTGCAAATACAGACTAACACGGCTGTTACTCTGAAAAGAGTTTTAAATGTTAGTTTAAGGTCATCTGTTAAATACCACTTTCCAAGTCCCAATACTACTGCTGCATGTAATAATTCAAAAACACTGCACAAGGGGCATTGTAGGCCTAGGACAAACAGAAATACATATGTTGAGAAATATCAAAATTATTTACCTCTGATAAATTGTGTGTATAACGTAAGGTAAGCAAGGAAACGGCAATCTTTTTAAAGATGATCAGATCTGGAATAAGTACTACTAATCAAAATACTACGGGCCTGATTTTCTAAACTCGGACATGCCTCTTCATGCTTAATTTGAATGCGTAACTGCAAATGTAAATGTCTATGCGTAAGTGACTGTATGCATATACTGAAATCGGCACATTGCTTCACAGAAATTGCTCTCACAAATGCACACTTAATTTGTGAGAGCAACTCCCTGCTTGTCAGGGGAAGGGGGAAAAAAAAATCAATCATCAACTTTACTTTTTGTAACTGACAAAACACATACCTGTTATTTTTCATAGTGAGCATTTTTACATAGTTATGTTTATTCTTGGTATTTTCCTATACACTTTCAATTAATATGAAATCAATACACAAAATATTTTTAGTTTCTACATTTAAAGCTTTACCTGAAATAGTCATAATGTGTCTGCCAGTTGACCCAGAGGCCAATCCACCACTCCCCACAATAAAGATTAGTTTGAAAATGCTGAACTACAGAAAATGATCCATCCAAAGAAATCTATTTTATGCACATGCTTAGTGGGAAATCACTGCAAAATAGCAAGGCCCATTCTTTTAAGCGAGGAACTGCGAGCTGATCAACAAGCCTTTTACCTTATTATAGTAAAGGGCCTCTTCTGGGGAAAATTCTCGCTTAAAATCTCCTCCGGCAGCACAATGTGCTTGAGCACAAATTCGCATCAGTCTTCCAGTGTTACATAAAAGAAGGGCAGAATTGGTTGCATCATCAATTGATTCAAAGTTATGAATCCCTTCTTCAAAGCAAGAGAAGCTTTTCTTCCACAGTTGCTGCTCTGCTGTAGATACACTTTTGCTCACTAGATCAAAAGGGGGGGGAGGGGGCAAAAGGTCTTACAATTTCATTCAAGCTTCTTAAAGATTTTTAAACCATCAACATCTATATTAAATTATTGTTCTCATGTTTCTATAGTGTTAAATTCCAGAAAAGCATACAAGTCAAGACTGAAGACTTAATAGTTCACCAAGAGGGCTCGGTCTTGGCCAGAGCAAAGGAAAACTTAATTCATTATCTTTTGGCAACTAGCAATGATGTAGGCTTTGTGGTTAGTGTCACAAAGTGGTTGAAATTCTGAATAAGTCAACAGATGCTACCCTGTACTGCCTTGCTGAAAACAGTCAGTGCCTTCTGATAACATTAAGTCGAAAACCACTGAAAGTTAACAAAGACCTGGTAAGACAATGACCATTAAAAAGACAATTTTCTCAGCGATCTCAAAGTACTCAGATACCACTTCTTTCCTACTGTAAGTAGACAGAAATAACTCAGATACTATGCTATGAAGTAACCATGAGTAATTTGTTTAAATAACCAGTTGCTTACAGTTTAACATTAAGGTTCGATTTCAGCTAAATATTATTTTGTTAAAGAAAAAGAAAGGACAGCAAAATAATCATCAAATCAGAAATTTGGCAATAATATCCTACCTATAGTAATAGCCTGACTATAATTGGGCATTTTTGTGAGGACAATTGTGCTAGTATTCATATTTTTTCCAGGGAATTATAACTACTATAAAGTTTCTCCAGAGTCTTATATTCCATATTTTAGTACAGACTAAGGTGTTCACGTGTAAGGTGGAGTACCCTGAAAAACACTGCTTGTAATGGAAGCACTAATATGCCATTAACTACAGGAGAGCGCATCTGTTACAAAGAAGTTCTTTGAAATTCCCTTTCTTCCTGGAATGAAGAGTTCAGGCGGCATCTCTCAAATACTGTTGCTGAAGATAATTACTGTTACACTGTTTGATGTAAACCCCTGAATAGAATAGTGTATAACAAAGTGAAAAAAAAATACTTGCCCACTCTCTCAGTCTGCACTGCAGCAGCCTGGTTCATGTAAAATACTCCAATTTCATTTCTGATGTTACCCATCCTCTTCAGTACTTGTGTATGCTGCTCTGGATTTTGTTTTTTTAAGTTACTAAAAAGCAAGATTTCATTAGCTGCCTCATAGCACTTGCAGCTAACCGAAAGCTGACATTCCAAGTCTGTAGACAAGTCAGTGGCCCATGCAAATACTGGAAAAACAAACAGCAAAAACTGCACGTCAATAATAAATTCTTTCTAAACAAATGTTATTTATTTTAGGGACTATGAAAAAAGTGTAATAGTAAAGGTTTGATAAAATGACTGAGTTGTGCCCAAAAATCAAAGGGGTTCCACAGAGCCTAAAGAAAGGCAGAATTTGGCCACTACTTGAAAGATGTGAAGAATTTTTTTTAAACTCTAGATATATTTAAAGTACATGATTTTATCATATACTCTCCAGAAAAGCCATATGCCTAAAAAGCTATTTTAATTTCTATGTTCAGCTTTCTTTTTGACAAGAAAGAAATAGCACCAAAGCACCATAAGGTTCCCCCACCCTCAGGAGTGATATACTATACCGTTTTGCCAAAATCTGAGGAAACACTGTGGGATAAGTATTGGCTGATAGGACCACACTAATTCAGCCAAATATATTATTATTTTGATGTTATACCTTGACAGCTGGATTCTCTATGAAGACTGTGCAATATTTCGTGATCTTCTTTTGTTTGGTAGTTATATTCTTCAAGATACGCAGCTCTGTTGTTTGCATTCTGGGCAAGCATTAGCTGGATATCACCACAAAGGGTTAAACATTGACAAAGAAACAGTAGCACTTCAGCAGGCATATTGGTGCAGAGGCAGCAGTAAGTATCTGGTGGGGGGGAACCCAAGAAAGCAAAATTAAGCACTAAGATTTGAGACATGTAGAACCCAAATTTTACTATTCGTAGAAGAGTGACCATGTAAGACTGGCGACATCTTACACAACAGTTCCGATCCCTGTATGTGTAGTTTGAGTCAGGTACTACTTTTTATCCCTGTTACAACTGCACAGCAATTACAGATAAGGAGGATGGACTGAATTCTATCCCTGCTCACACAGAACTGTTAACTAACCTACAAATGCAAGGTCTAAACCTGCCCTCAGTTATAACTGTGTAAAACCAGGTTTCAGAGTAACAGCCGTGTTAGTCTGTATTCGCAAAAAGAAAAGGAGTACTTGTAGCACCTTAGAGACTAACCAATTTATTTGAGCATGAGCTTTCGTGAGCTACAGCTGATGAAGTGAGCTCACGAAAGCTCATGCTCAAATAAATTGGTTAGTCTCTAAGGTGCTACAAGTACTCCTTTTCTTTTTGCGAATACAGACTAACACGGCTGTTACTCTGAAACCTGTCATTATGCAAGGCACTGCATTTAGCCGTATGGAGTGGAAATCTATCAACTGCATGAAAAAACTTGTACAGATACAAAGGCATCTGATGAAGTGAGCTGTAGCTCACGAAAGCTCATGCTCAAATAAATTGGTTAGTCTCTAAGGTGCTACAAGTACTCCTTTTCTTTTTGTGTAAAACCACTGAAGACAATAGGATTTTCACAGGTATAACTGAAGGCAGGATTTGGCCTACAGAATTTTTATTACTAACAATGATATACGAACCAGGAAGAAGAGTTTGACTTTCAAATCTCAGACTGATTTTCTAGGGATGACAATGAGAAACTATTCCCCTCACATATTTTTACTAACAAATAGAGCTTGATCTCAATTCACTGAACAACAATGAATTTGGCAAAGCACAATGCACTTTTTTTTTTTTAAAACAGAATAGAATTTCACTTTAAAGCTATTATATTTTCTGATTATTCAAACTCTCAGTGTTATAACCAGGAAACAGAATCAGAATATTCTCCATCATTCTACTCAAAGTCTCAGTATTAGTTGGAGACGCACTCCACTCTATGGGTATCTACTTAAAGTTTCTGAGTGAATATAGCACTTCTGAAAATGAGGAATATGTAAGAATAGCTCAAGCCAAATATAATGAATAAAGGTGCTATTTTAGCCTTTCTACACATTCCAGGCACCAGACTTCAAGTCCCAGTCTATACGCTGATTCCTGCCCCTCTGCCTTCAAAGTGAAACTGCCACTTGTGCAAATTGTTATCATTTTGTAATGGGGACAAAGGGAATGAGACAGAAGAAACCTATGATCTAAACTAAAAGGCTTCCCTGCGTCCAACTAGCCCAAGCCAGTTCTTTATTATAATATATTTGTTAAAAGCATGGGATTTATGTGCCTAATTCAGTCCTCAGATGCCACAGACTTTTTCAATGTGCGGCAGAAGTATTTGCCATTGTCTATGTGCACTGTTTAAGAACTCCAATTACTTACCATGGCACTGTAAAGCTAACTTAATGTATCGTAATGCTCTTCCGTATTTCTGAAGACTCATAGCAGCATCAGATAGAACATAATAAGCCTTCGATGACTTCAGAATCAGCTGGAGTTTCATTTTATACTGCCAGGATCCAGGAATCATTCCTGATTGACTGGAATGTTTATCCTTTTGAAATGAGCCCACTATAAATACAAAAATAAAATAAGAAAATCTTAAATCTAATCCATAAGAATACGATTTAGTCAGAGAGGTCACGGCAGTCACGGATTCCATGACTTGACTAGAACCTCAGTGACTTCTTTGGCTTCAGTTGACAACTGCTGAAGCAGGGAATGGAGCTGGGACTGTGCGCCGCTGCCCCACAGCTGGGGCTGCAGAGAGATCCACAAATGTGACTTTTTTGGTTTGTACTGAATCCTTGCAACCCTAATATTAGCTCAGAATCGACAAACTGTACTGTCCAATTTCAGCCTGGAAGAAGGAACTGTTGAAATCTTCCACCCTGTTAGTGCCAGGACATCCTTAGCCTCATCAGAAGAGTCTGTTTCCTTGATGCTGGAGTAGCCCTGCTACCAGACCGAATGCGCCACTGCTTTGGGCCAAAGGCCCTGGTCCTCGCACCAAAGGCTTCTGCCGCACCAGTTCAGGGGGCTTTGAAGCAGATAAAGTTCTACAATATTCAGGCCAGAGACTCATTTCTGTACAGGAAGGCAGACCCCAGGGTCTGGCTTATAGGATCACATCGTTAAGTCAGCCTGGAGAAGAGCACACCTCTCTTTCTGGACAAAGATGATACATCATACAGACAACCTAAACAGTTCAGACACAGTGCAGTGGGTGTCAGCAAAGGTTCTTTTTAAAACATTAAATTTGAGGGGAAACTACTGTTAATCCTGCCTCCCCCAACTCTTTCTTCATGTATGGGAAAGATTTCAGGAGGAGCATGATACTACACGTTTTGCACAACAAAAGCATAGGTACAATAAAGGGAGAAACTTTGTTTCTCACATATCTTCGAAATTTCTTGGTCTAGTTTAAATTCAATCTCTATTATCCAAACACTAGCTGGTACTCTGAAAGACTTGAGTTAGTTCCTTTTGCTGCTATCAAAAGTTGAAAAGGGAGTCTTAAATCAGAGGTACTGCTTAGGTGTTTATCCTAGCTCAGATTGTAATGCAGCTATTTGGTGGTATATTTAGTCTTAAATTCTGGACCGATTATGGGGAAAAAACCGCTCACTATGTCCTTTGCAGATCTACAAGTCACCGACTTCCAAGTGACACCATCGGCTGTAAATCAAAGTTGGAGGAGAAATAGTAGACCTTTCCCGTGATTATTCATTAAGACAGACTTGGGAAATTTTAGTATACTTTTTTGGTTTGAGAGTTGGCAAAGCATAGCGGTATTATTTTATATCTTGGAAGCAATAGTCACTACCTACCTTCATGGCAATAATCTTCTTAGTATTTCAACTACCACAATATAGCTATTTAAAGCTAGATTTCAATGTTTAATATATATTCTAAAAAGTTAACTCTTAAATACCTTGTCATTTTCAGCTCCCAGAAAAAAAAATTTAGCAGCCAATTCAGCTTTCAACTAAACTACTGGATTAATGGAAGGAAACTCCAACTAAAAGTTAAATTTTAATTACACATCTAAGAACCCCTACATTTCTTTTTTGAATTATAGTTATAGGACAACTGTGTCTTATTGCTCTTTTACATAGAGCCAGAACACTATAGTAAGGTGCTCCGATACTATGGTGAAGCAGTAAATGCAGGCTATTGCAGCTTTAGTGATTTAAAACACACTCAACTAAGACATTTTTATTCAAATATTTCCTACAGTTCTTGCATAAAAGGCAGAATTATAAGTGCATGGCAAGCAAATAATATCCTTGTTAATGTTTTATACGTTGGCAACATGCGCATGTGTAGCACAGCAATGAGTATGATGTTGACACTAAAATTATTGCCAAAATCCATAGTCTTATAAAGATAATATCTAAGTGACAAAACCTAAAGCTACCAAAAAAAAAAATCTAAAGGGGGCACTACATCACAATCTATGAACAAAATGAAATCTTTATGGAAGCCAGTGGCAAGCCACATCTAAATAAAATGCAGTAACCTTATGTACTTACTATAAAAGGATCTTTAATATGCTAAAAGAATCCCTACTGTCCTGTTTCTTTTCATATTTAAAAGGAGAGGCCTATATTCTCCACTTCTGTTTGTGTGCAATATCCTTTTTTGCTTTTTCAGTGCATGGCGTAATTGATGATTTACAAGTACATTGTTTAGACGATCAAAATAAAATAGCAGCAGTGTGCTGTGCCATTGAAAAGGTCCTATTTGCAAAACAATTCAGCTTACTTTTGTCTAAAAACAAAGCCATCTGTTTTTCCAGACACTCAGGACCACCACTCGTGGATTCATCTTCGTATTTTAATGGGATTGGGGTGGTGGGGTCGGCTGCAGGGAGGTCACCATCTTTTTTAATGCTGCTGTCAACAGATTTCAAGCCCTTTAAAAAGAAAAAGCCTTTCATTAAGTATTTACTTGGAAGGTGAACTAAATATAAACATACCAAAACATAACAGCATTAGGAAACTTACCTCTAGAACATAGCTGAGCACAAGTCTACACCGTTCCTCAGTGTCATGGCAAACAGGAAATGCACAACTAGGCTTAATTAAAAAAAAAAATTTTAGGAAGGCAGAGCTACTTAAAAAAAAATACAAGCAAACTAACTACGAAGCTTTAAAAGATAGACAGCAAAATCCAGTTTATTGGGCTATGTTAACAAACTATAATGAAGGCCATTCATGAAATATGTTAAACTTCATACTATATCTAGACCACAACATTTCTTTCCTTTACTTCAGGAACTGAAGATACTGTCATTGTAGGGTTTAACTAGATTTACCAAAACTGACCAAAATTCATAACCAGTTTGTTTTAGTGACCCAAAATCCTAAAATAAGGGCCACAGAAGGAAAGCAGCCATACAGTGACTGCAATGAAGCCCCACACCCTAGAAGGAGGTAAGGGAGGGAGCAGGCGGGCAGGTGTGTAAATTCTATTTCCTTCCACATAACCCATTACTCTAACTGTGCAACGAGGGATGAATTTCACCCTAACCATCTTTTCTAAATGACAGGAACAATCTTCATTGACCAACTTTTAGTATGGGAGAAAGATGAAATCCTGCCAGTATAAGATCGATCCAAACCCTGCAAATAGAAGTGCAGTACTCTCCAGTTATGAATCTGAGTTTTAAGAAGAAAAATCAGTGTAGGGCTTCTACCACCAACAGGGTGCTACATTTTCAGCAGTGGGGCCTTGAGGTACTAAAGCTTGCAGCATATCAACCACCATGGGTGATTGATTTTGCAGAATATCAGTCTCTCTCGGTTATTTGGCATAGGGACTTGTAAGAAAAGTCAACCTTTTTGATACGATATACATGTTGCAGAAGGATAACTAAGCATGAGGCAATCAAGCGCTTCACTGCCACAGATATGGCTTAATTAACTGTCAAGAGGCAAAGTGAAACATTGTTAACATTTGGGAGCTAAATGACAAAACTCAGTTTCACATTATTTGGTTGTTTTAGATATTGTACTAATGAAAAGCTGCTTTGGTGAAGTCTGACAGATGGTAATTGCATTATATTTTTGTTCATCTACATATTATGGAAGCATATACCAGACAAGTTTTTGGAAAATTTATGACTGAGGTGCATGCAGACAGCATTATGGCTTACACTAACGCTGCCTAATTCATCTTTTCATACCCGTAAGTGGGGCAGAAGGTAAGATTTCTTCCCTCAGAATGGCTTCAACACAACCAAACTTTTAAACAAAGATTCCTAAATTCTGAGAGAGGACAAGGAGGGAGCTGAGGAGTAACTCCATGGTTTTGTGGGGAGGTAACACTCAGATTCTTTGCATGTCAAGCTGTTAAGGTACATTCCAGAGATATGCTGGTAAATCACATGTTTTAGTATGGACCGCCCTTAATTCTCAACAGCTGTTAAGTACCATTCCATATTCAGAATATTCCTACAACAAGGATGAGTAATTTCTCTATAGGTGGCTATGCAGAAATTAACAGGCAAGTAGAATACACACACAAGATAATAAAACAAAAACAATATTCATTTGCATCTGCAATAGGATAAAACTCAGAGCCACAATTCGGCCCAAAGTTTTTATTTCCTTTCTGCCAATATTCCAATTCATCTGAGGTACACAAATAACTGGTGGCATAAAGGTCTTTAGACAGTTCCTTTTTTAATAAAAGGAACTGCTCCCAGTTAACTATATTTTGACAATACAAGTCGCACTATGTTCATTTCAAGTTTCCCCCTCCCACCCTCTTAAATTCAGCACAGCTTGTTAGTAACTTACCCGTATTTGGTGAATAGATTTATATTTTTCTGGTACTGATAGCTCTCCAACAGATTTGATTACAGCTACTGCTTTATTGTCATCTGGTGGATCGGAGCTGGTGCTGTAGGAACCATTTTCATCACTATCCGGCATTTCTTCTTCCTCTTCACTATAACTTTCATCAGAGTTCCCATTTAAAGGAAACTCTGCACCTTCTTTTTTAGGCTCATCTAACTGGAAGAGTTCTGAGAGCATGTAATTTGCTGAAGCAATAATCTTATTTAAAAAAAAAAAAAAGTATTTTAGTGTACCCCACTACTACAAGTTACTAACAAGTTTTTAAATAGGCTACTCAAATAGAAGTTTGCATCTTTCCACTCTGAGACAAAGAACAAGTTTAGAAAAGGGTCCAATAAATGCACACACAAGACTGTACAGGTACCTGCAAAATCCCTAACCAGTGCATGCAAATAGATATTAATATGCTTAAAATGTCATAGCCAATTTAAAAAAAGACTGCCACTACAGTAAAAGAATAATGGTCTGTGGGGTTTTTTAAAGTGTATTAATACATTTAAATTTACAGCTGTTTAGTGGTCAAAACTAAACTGCTCTTCCAGGATCACTCTCCCTTAACAACTTTTAGTCATTTTTAATAGTATTTGACTTCTACTAAGATACAGTCCACATGGACTGTACAGATATGGATGTTACACCTTTTGCACTGTAGAAGTCCTGTAATGGAACATTTAACGTTAGGTTAAGAAGTGACTCTACAATTGAAAGGTAGCAAGACGAACAGCTGATCAGAGCAGTGTCTGCGGGGGGGTGTGGGGGAGTAGGAGGGAGGGGGAGAAGATGACTTCTGGATTTTATTTCTGACTGCTTCAGATTAGCTGCACGATAGCATTCAGCTCAAGGTCTCAGTTTATTCATCTACAAAAACAGGCATAATATATTTGAAAAGGTTAATTAATATGGTCACAAGCTTTCAAATACTTGGATGAAAGGCACTATTGATATACAAGGTATTATATTCTGATTATCCAAAGGTATTATTCATCAATGTGAAGGTTACTAATGAAGAATAAGTTTAAATCTGCTTAAATTTACAAGAACATCCTCCAACCTTAGCTCCATTATCAAGAAAAATCAAGCTCAAATACATCCATCACTGCCAACACTAAAACTTGAAATTAGAATTTTAAAGATAAACACACCACTGGTGCACAAAGCAGAAACTGGCTCTGCAGATATGCGTGACAAAAACAACTTACAGGAAACTAAGAAGTTACAACCCTAGAAAGGGTCAAGATCCCAACCCTACTCTCAATGCAATGCACATATAACAGGTTGTGGTCAAAATTTATCCCATTTTGGAGGTTTGCCTTTATTCTTTATAAAGTAACAAAACCCCTGAGGTAGGAATGTAGTAACAAACTTTAGCTTCAGCTCCCTCCTAAGTAGACTGTTCCTGGCGATCCTCTCCATATTACTTTGTATCCGTCTTGCCACATTTCTTGACACAGAAAGTAACTCGGTCATTTGAGATCAAGCCTGACTACCAGCAAAACAGTACTACACTTCTACAGAGTTTCAAAGCTAGCTTCAGGCTGCAGGCCTTTACTTCTACCTCTCTACTCCAGACCCATCTCTTTCTGTTCAAACTACAGTCTCATTCTCTTTCTCCAACAGCTCCTTGTGGATATCTAACCATCAGCTTGAGTTCAATATAGCTAAACAGAGCTCTTAATCTTGCCTCTCCAAACCTTCCCTGCTACCTCCTTTCTCAACGACTGTGGACATGATCATCATTCTACCGGTTATTCAGACCTGTAACCTGGGTGTTATCTTCAAGTCGGCCCATTTTCTGGGTCCTCACACGCAGGCTATATTCAGTATTGCCAGCCTGAAGTTATCCAAAAAAAAAAAAAAAATCACAAACCAGATCCCCCAAAATCATGAGATTGGCCCCAGACAGCATGAGGATATCATCATGCCACGTATTTTGGTACTTCTTGACTTAACTTCCCTTTATTCTTCTGTGAGTGTGTGAATTTTAGGTGAAAAGTCAACCTTTAATGCACACAAAAATGCATGCCTCGACTTGGCTGCTCAGATGGAGACACCACTTACTATCTTAGGAGTGAGCAGAGGATAACAGGGAAACTGCCATATATTTTCCTATCTTGACACTCCCTTCTCCTCAGTCTGGATCGCAAGTAGAGAAGTCATCCCAGGCAGTGGGAGACAAGAAAGCGTAGCTGCTGGGTCCGGACTTTCCCCTGACTTCCCGCTCCACATCTCTCCAAGGACCATCCTCTCTGCTATAGGGCCATTCAAGGCAGAGCTCAGTGGCAAGACCCATCTGTGTCCTGTGCTCCAAGGCTCTCACAAAGCTTTGCCCATGTGCTCAGCCCTGAAAAAAAAATCACAGGATCAGAGGAGCTGCTTGCATCATTGTGAGAGCTCCTCCTGCAGCTGCCAAAATCTCATGACTTGTGATCTATTTGCAAGAGCTGGCAACACAGCACTGCCTTCCCCTGGCTGCTCAGACAGGACTACCCACACCCACCACTATCCCCAGGCTGAGGGGGCTCCCATTCTATGGTCTTTGTCTCCCACCCCATTGCTGTTCTCTGAACCCCCATTCTGCCTCCCATATGCCGCCACAGCCCCTGCTCCCCATTCCCTTATAATTCCAAAATCTGCCTCTTGGGCCCCCCAGCATCCCACTCCTACTCATTCTGTTTCATCCATCTTGCACAGTGTCTCAGCTGATCTCATAGTCCCGGTGTCCTGTCTAGCCCTCCTGAACCATAGCGTGTCAGCCATTTTGCCTCTCAGTGCAGCTTCAGCCTCACTGAGAACAGTGCCAGGTATCAACCAACTTCATTAAGGGCACTTCCACATGTAGATAGACTGTAGGGAAATAGAGGCCATCTTACCGGTTTCAGCCCCATTGACAACAGAGATGGTAGCCACTTTGAATAAGAGAAAATTCATGAATTGGCAGCCTCTCATGTTTTCATGAGACAGGTTAAAAACTCTCAACATTGCTAGAGTTGCGATAAAAAAATATCACAGGAGCTCACAATACTGCATATCTACAGAAACATGTACTGCATGGCAAGGTGAAGTATTAATCTACAGCCCTCTAATAGGGACATACTAGGGACCCTTTAGGGCACAGGAGTAGCATCCTCACGGTCAGGGCATAACACAGTGGAGTGCTATAGATTTAGAGCACAGTTTCATATGTAGGAAGTTTCGTGTAGACATGCCCAACAATATGTTCTTTCTTAACCATCCACACAGCTAAGACTCGTGTCCAGGCTCTCCTCATCTCATATCTTGATTACTGCAACACCCTTCTTTGTGGGCCTGACAAACGTAATTGTGCCCCACTGATACCCATTTGGCATGCAGCTGCAAAGATAATTTTCTTAGCCTGTAGCTTTGACCATGTCATCCCTTTCTTTGGGTACCTTCTATGGCACCTTCTTTATCATATGAAACAAACTACCTGTCTTCACTTTCAAGGCCCATCATGATCTATTCCCACCCGATCTATCTCACATTCAGTATTGAAAGGTCAATTCTCACTTCCAGTTGGCCCATTCCGCACTTGTTAATATTTCATACTGGCACCTTCATTCTTTTTGCTATGCTGCCCTCGTGCTTAGGAGACGCTCCCCATGAAATCATTATCCTCCTTCAAAACCCTCCTTTCCTGTGTGATCTAGATGGCTAGTGTGCTGAGAACACAGTCTATTATATTTACTACTACTATCTCATTGTTCCATTATATTCCATCGGTCTGTCTCTATCCATCTATTGTCTCTTGTCTTATACGTAGATTGTAAGCTTTTTGGGACAGGGACTGGCTTCTTGTTCTGTGTTTTTTGCAGTGCCTAACAGGTTCACGACAGGGATTCTTTGTAGAATACTACAAATAAATAATAAAATACTACGTTTGTCTTCTCTCTTATATAACCCTCTGTTTAAAAAAAAAAAAAGGTTTTCTGATCATAGCCACACTTGAAGATTAGTTTAATACAATTCCACACACAGTATATCCAGATTTTCTCAGGCATGTAAATAAGTCCATGACTATGGTGAGGCAAACCCCTGGATAAATCAATGAACATTTTGGCTAACCTGGCTTTATAAAAGTTCATTTCACATATTGGCATAAGTCAGCTGCAAACTACTGTGGTGGATGGTAGTATAAAACCAGAGAGAGATAGACTACAAGTTATTTTTGAGGTGATGTATGTATGTACTGTTAGTTATCTCGATTTAAAAAAAAACATTTTTTAAAAGCCAGTGAGTGTTCATGCAAAAAGCTTATATCAGCTCCTATGGTTTATTATATTTTGGTCTTTAGTTGTATTTTGTCTGTTCAGCAGTCTAAACACCTCATTTGGAGGAAGACTGTAAAAAAGAGTCATTAACACCACTGCTATGAAGTCTCTTGTGAAAAACAGTCTGAAAGTCTCACCTATTATATCTACTTTTTCTGCTCTTCTCCCACCCCCACCATAAATTTTTTTACTGTTCAAGGAAGGTTTTGTATTTAGTGGACGTCTTTGAAAACTGAAGCCCTCTATGTATCTATGAAACAGGTACTTCAGGAAATAGCAGTAGCTGTTTTGAGGTCACAATGCATGAATAAGAGCAACCAGTGATGAGAACCAGGAGGTGGAGGTGGTCACCACCTAGGTGCAAGGAGGAGCAACAATAAATTTGGAACTAGAAGTCACTAGATTAGTGATTATAGAATCATAGAATATCAGGGTTGGAAGGGACCTCAGGAGGTCATCTAGTCCAACCCCCTGCTCAAAGCAGGGCCAATCCCCAATTAAATCATCCCAGCCAGGGCTTTGTCAAGCCTGACCTTAAAAACTTCTAAAGAAGGAGATTCTACCACCTCCCTAGGTAACGCATTCCAGTGTTTCACCACCCTCCTAGTGAAAAAGTTTTTCCTAATATCCAACCTAAATCTCCCCCACTGCAACTTGAGACCATTACTCCTTGTCCTGTCCTCTTCTACCACTGAGAATAGTCTAGAACCATCCTCTCTGGAACCACCTCTCAGGTAGTTGAAAGCAGCTATCAAATCCCCCCTCATTCTTCTCTTCTGTAGACTAAAAATCCCAGTTCCCTCAGCCTCTCCTCATAAGTCATGTGTTCCAGTCCCCTAATCATTTTTGTTGCCCTTCGCTGGACTCTCTCCAATTTATCCACATCCTTCTTGTAGTGTGGGGCCCAAAACTGGACACAGTACTCCAGATGAGGCCTCACCAACGTCGAATAGAGGGGTACGATCACGTCCCTCGATCTGCTCGCTATGCCCCTACTTATACATCCCAAAATGCCATTGGCCTTCTTGGCAACAAGAGCACACTGTTGACTCATATCCAGCTTCTCGTTCACTGTCACCCCTAGGTCCTTTTCCGCAGAACTGCTGCCTAGCCATTCGGTCCCTAGTCTGTAGCTGTGCATTGGGTTCTTCCGTCCTAAGTGCAGGACCCTGCACTTATCCTTATTGAACCTCATCAGATTTCTTTTGGCCCAATCCTCCAATTTGTCTAGGTCCCTCTGTATCCTATCCCTGCCCTCCAGCGTATCTACCACTCCTCCCAGTTTAGTATCATCTGGGAATTTGCCGAGAGTGCAATCCACACCATCCTCCAGATCATTTATGAAGATATTGAACAAAACTGGCCCCAGGACCGACCCCTGGGGCACTCCACTTGACACCGGCTGCCAACTAGACATGGAGCCATTGATCACTACCCGTTGAGCCCGACAATCTAGCCAACTTTCTACCCACCTTATAGTGCATTCATCCAGCCCATACTACTTTAACTTGCTGACAAGAATACTGTGGGAGACCGTGTCAAAAGCTTTGCTAAAGTCAAGAAACAATACATCCACTGCTTTCCCTTCATCCACAGAACCAGTAATCTCATCATAGAAGGCGATTAGATTAGTCAGGCATGGTAAGGATTACCTTAGATTAGGTAAGGAATGGAAGACAGTTCAGGATCCCTTCCCTTACCGCCCCCCACAACACAATGTTTAATACCAAAATACAGATGTAATGAAGTAGACAGTGAAAGCTAACATTATGGTCTTTACCATGGTGATACACCATTTAAAAAGTGATCCATGAGCTGTAATACTATATTTTAAGATTATTTTTATGTCACTTCACAACTCGATCCAGAGCATCCTACTGATAATTTAATTCAGTATGTTCTAAGCTATACACCGAGTCCAGATGACAACCACCATTTGGTTGTTTCATGATCTGCCTTTCACATATATGGAGTCAGTTTTCAGTTGACAACAGTAACAGTCTGAAGAAAATGTTTTAAATCTAGGTTAGGAAACCACCTGTAATGATAAATAATAATAATAGTGTGTAATAAGCATGTCATAAAAAACAAATTTCCAAGATCACTGCTTTTATAAATTGACACTCAGGTTAAGGAGAAAATCCCTGGAAATATTCATTTTTAGGAGGGGGTTTGCGAGACTTGACATTTTATTGAAAGGGGTTCACAGGTTGTTTAAGTTAGGGAACCACTGCTTTAGACATTTCTACTGCCTTTCGTACTGCTGCTGGATATGTAAGATGCCAAATCAGTAACTTGGGAGGCATCACAGTCTAGTGTATAGAAGTCAAGAGATTTCGGTTCTATTCCTGGCCCTGTCACTGACCTGCCATTCAAGTCTGATTCTCCCTCCTACCTTCTGGCTGTCTTGTCCATTTAGATTGGATGCTCTTCAGTACAGAGTCTGGTTTCTTAATGTGTGTTTGTAAAGCGTTAAGCATGAAAGAGCCTTGATCTTGGTTACAGAACTTCCCCCAAGGAAAAGTTCATGTGAAGTTTTAATTTAATCATAAGGAGGGATTTTAGACCCATACTGGTGATTTGAGCTTCAAAATAAGAAAAGTGAGGTTCTGCCAAAAAAAAAAAAGCACGCTCATGCAGGGACATTTGAATTGTCACTTTTCAGTCCAGGGAACTTTTATAACCAAGATCCACTGCCACTGCATAAGAGGATGAGATTAGCTCATTAACATGTTGCAATCACACTGTAATTAATATAGCATTTGGTTACCTTATTGGTGCTTTTAGTTGAAGGTACATCATCAATATCCGTATTTTCATTATATACAAGCTACACATCTCTCTGTAGTAAAAAAATGTATTAAAATAGAATTCTTACTTGTGGATGTCTGGCTTTGTCCAACAACTTAACACAATTAAGGAGTAATGTTCTGATAGTGCCATAGTGTTTCTTGTTCTGGTTTTTTTTCATCATCATATTGCAGGCAACTCTAAAAAAAAGTTGATCAGAATAGACATAGAAATGTCATTGAAGTGTCTATTACCATTTTTTTCTTATTATTTCCTGCACATCTAAGCATTCTGCAAAGCCCATCTTTTTGAGTAGGCTTCTAGGGAAGCACTCAGGTGACAGAGAAATGTGAGGAATGGAGAGACTGATTCAGTTAATATCATGATTTGGTTGGCTGATTGTTGTACGTATAAGGAGAATGTGGTGATGTTTTGGTTTTATGATTTTTGGATTGCATTTTTAACTGGTGGCCAGAGTACCTAGTGCCCAAGTCAGACATTTAATGTCTTACATTTAAATCTAAGTAAATTAAATATTGCAACAGTTTTGCTTCTGTAAGACACGCTTACTTGTACAAGAGAATTGCCACAGGCATTGTGAAAGGGTTTTGGTATTTATCTTCGGTTTCTTCACAAAGAGTGGTGAGGTCATAGAGCTTTACTATATCGCTTCCACTTGCTGAAAGAGAAGATTTTTCCATTAGCCAATCTGACAATATATAGGTCTCAAACATCATTTATTAACCCAACCAAGGAATTGCTTACCTTTAAATAGCCAGTAAGTATGCCCTTCTTTGGTGCAGTTAGATTTCAGAAAAGATAAGATATTTTGAGCAATATCCTTTATCACTTTGGTAGAAAAATTGGAGTTTTCCAAATTGGGAATATCTTCAGTCTTGATCATTTCATATTTCTGTATAGAATGTATTTTAAACATATTGAAAAATCCTCATAATATATACTAAGGTTGGCTATACAAACAGAGAAGCCTTTCATCATCCATTAAATTGAAAACAGGAGTTCCATTATTAATGTTTATTAATACTGAAAGCCCTCAAAATTGTGAGTTATGAATTTAGTGCTGCATCCAATTATGTTTGTGTAATTTTACCGCTTATACCCCTTTGTTTTAATACAAGGACTTATCAGGGCCAAACTTAAAGCGAAATTCTGTGGACTGGCATTTAACACATACAGTAATCTCAATAAAATGATGCAGAATGAATGTGGTTATGCTGAACAGATTGGCTTAGACTATACGGTTTACAGTTAATTAACAACTCTGTTGTCTCAGTATATATTAATAATTTAAATAAAGTATGGATCTGCCCTCCAGTCAGTACAGACTTTTACTACACACTAGTTTATAACCACATTTCTGTATTTTCTTTACAAATTTCAAGACTGCTATATAATTTAAGATTTTTCAAATCTGCAAAATTAAGTTTACAGTGAGTTTAGAATTGTACACTTCTTAAAATTTGGAGGGAGTTACAAGATACACCTATAAATATCAACAAATGATAGTTCAAAATGGAAATGCTGACACTGGGCCCTTTCATGTTTACAGAGCACTTCACACAACAGGCTTCCACCTAGCTTGCTTCTAGGTGCTACCACAATATATATCCTAAATACAAAGATTATGTTAAAAGAACATTGTTTAGATTACAAAAATCAAGCACTCAAAAGTAAAAAAAAAAAAAAAAAAAAATATCCAAGAGTTACAGTTGCCCAGGCATCCTTAATTCTACCTCCTTGTGCATCCAGTTGTACACTAAACGAGGCAGGAGTCCGGTGGAAACAAACTACATATGCAATCATGTAATTAAAGACACTATCACAATACACAAGGAGAGAGAATATTAAGGTTTCACCTGAAAGTTAGGACATTCCAGATTTACAAGTGCTTGACTTTTCAACATTGATAACATTCTTTTAATGTCTGATTTGTAATTTCCTAGGTTTCTGTATTTGTAAGGAAACAAAGCGAACTAAATGTCCCCTTCATGCATCTTCAGCAGGGCTTGAATTCTGAATACCTTCAGCACTAAACCACACAGTCCTGTATTTCAAATGGTAGAAGTATGTACATTAGATAGCAGCAGGACGTGGCTGTTAACCCATTTTCGGGTGGCGGGGGGGGGAAGAGGGGGCTCTTTTTAAATTGTTCATCAGTTCAGCCACATCTGAACAGAATTTCATGGAACTAACAAGAGTGACATCTCTAGCCCCAGGACTTTGTTTGCTGTCAGCCTTTAAAATAAGGCAGGGACAAACAATGGAAGTATTAAGAGTTTCTCAAAAAAAAGGTTTATAAGAACTTTTCTAGTGCAATGTTGCTACCAGTTCCCACATAACCATTCATAATGGTGAAGTTGGTAATTAATCAAAGAATTGGTAAAGTGGACATAAATGTAAGACGTCAGGACTTACCTGAACAATTCCATTAACATGAAAACACATCACAAGCTCTGGGACGTTACATATTAAGTTGTCCAACCAATAGTCAATTCCTGTTAACACGTTTATTGGCTTGTTGTTATCCCTACAACAAAAATATTTTTGGTATTGCTTGGAGCAAATAAAGATATTTAAGTCATCAGGGTACATCTAGTAGAGGTTTTGTTTTTTTTAAATTGCCACTTACAATAAATGTCTGTTGAGACTTTAGCTATGTGTGTGTCAGTACGAGAAGAACAGAGCAACCTTAAAATTGAGGTAAAAAAAGCTTTCATTTGTGACTAAGGTTATATTTTAAACTAGCACATGTGGGGAGCTATACTAACCACTATGATGATATCAGGTTTCAGAGTAACAGCCGTGTTAGTCTGTATTCGCAAAAAGAAAAGGAGTACTTGTGGCACCTTAGAGACTAACCAATTTATTTGGGCATAAGCTTTCGTGAGCGACAGCTCACTTCATCGGATGCATACTGTGGAAACTGCAGAAGACATTATATACACAGAGACCATGAAACAAGGTATTGTTTCAAACAAGAGACCATGAAAGGAGGTATTGTTTCATGGTCTCTGTGTATATAATGTCTTCTGCAGTTTCCACAGTATGCATCCGATGAAGTGAGCTGTCGCTCACGAAAGCTTATGCCCAAATAAATTGGTTAGTCTCTAAGGTGCCACAAGTACTCCTTTTCTTTTTATGATATTAGCATCTGTTACTGCTAATGGAATGCATGCTATTACTGCCCTCACCACTTTAAAATTACAGCCCACATTATTACTGAGATCACCCATAGTTTTCTAAACACTTTTTAGGGGAAAAATTAAGGGATTAATAGAATTAGCTGGAACCAAGCATATTGCAAACTTTCTTACACAGTTCTTCCAAAGGCACCTCAGTTCTGGGCTGCATTTACAGTGCCCAGCTACGTGAACCTTGAGTGTCTTTTGAGCAAAGATGGCCCAGTATGCCAAGCTGACTTCAACTTTTTAAGTTTGCCTCCATCTTTCCCACCCTATGAAAGGCATACTGGTCTTTCCTCCCACCCTTGCTGTGGGAGACCAGGCTCCTTCACCTCTGCATGGGCAAGAAGAACCCACAGCAAGAACAAAAGAGTCAGAGAACAGAGTAACCACAACATCAAGTACACATTTTCAGTTATATATGGACAGTAATCCGTAACTGTATTTTACATGGCATCCAATACTAGCATTTGAGCATCTCACGAATATTAATGTATTTATCCTTACAACATCTGTGCAAAGCAGAGACGTGATACTCCCATTCTACAAATTGGGGATTAGAACAGAGATTAAGGGCCCTAATTTTCAGAAGTGTTGAACACCTACAACTCCAAAGGCAATGGGTTGCAGATAGTTGGCACCTCCAACCATCAGGCCCTAAGTGTTTTGCCAACAGTTACACCAGAAGTCTGAGGAAGAGCCAGAAAGAGAACCAAGACATCCTGAGTCCAAATCCAGTGCCTTAATCACAAAAAACACCCTTCTACTACTTCATGAAATCATTACCACTTCAATACTAGAGTATAAAATTAATCTTTAAATGCAGATTAAGAATTAAATTATCCTACAAACTTATATATACACAAAACTGAATATGAAACTGAAGCAACAAAAGAGCCAGGTTTGGGATACACATCACATTAGTTTAAGAATTCACCTGAGACGCAAGCTCACAGCAGGGTATCTTCCACCTCCAAATATAGGCATATTTGATCCTACTAACATGTGAATGTCTTCAAAGGTCCACAAGATGTTCCGAACAAAGTCATTTTTAAGTCCCTTTGTTTAAAAAAAGAAAGTGTCTAAATAATCCACTCTGTTAATTTTTTCTCCATCACAATCTGCAGAATTACTATGAGAAAGCAAGATGCAAAAAAGGCAAATAAAGGACAGCACATAAAGACTATGCTATGCGTTCACAGTAACTTAAAAGACCAAGATCACTGATGTCACAAGAGCTATTGCTACAGAAGGATTTAATTTTTCTCCCCTCGCCACCAACCCGAATCCAATTTAGACCAAATTTAAAACGATTTGTTAAACTGGGGATTGTTGTTTCCGCTCAGATTCCACAAAAAGCATACCTGACTGTTTTCCCCGTCATTGAACAAAGTACTCAGGTTTTGTTCTTTGGGGGCTGAGGCCACATGCCCCACTACATATGAGGGTTCAAGAGGCACACTTCCCTGTGAAAAGCACAAGGACATAAGGAGTGATTCTATTGCTGATGTAAAGTCAGGCCATTTTCAAAAGTGTATATATATCCTGAACAGCAGAAGCATAAAAAGTGAAAACCTTAATTCCATCCTTATTTTGTTTAATGTATACAACTTTCTTCAGCCAGTGGCTTACCTCAATTCTTTCTTACTGTAGCTACTGCATTGGAATTCTAGTATGATTTGTTCAAAGTCAGTCTTCATTTACATATAAAAAATAGTTTAATTTCTCAAACTTTGCAAAATTAAATACAATAGGAAAGTGAAGAGAATTAAAAAAATAATAATTTGGTATCCAAGAAAAGTAACACATTCACAATCCTGGAGATTTAAATTTTCTATCCTGAAGTTTTATTTATCCACAGTAAAAGCATAGAATGTGCCGCAGCAGTGCAAGGTTTTCCGCACCACCTTGCAACACACCTGAACCACAACTTGGAAACAGTGCCTCCGTGGAGGAGAGAGAGCAGCAGTTTTCTCTTTCTTTCTCCATGCCTAATCAGGCATCGAGGTGGCTTTCTGCTGTGAAAGGATGGCATTTATGGTTCCACCTCAAAGCACATAGAATTGTTACAACTTTACCAATGCAATCTAGATTCTATGTGGTGATCTAGAGCAGAGAATCTTCATAATCCTTTATCAATCTGAGTCATCTAGTGTCCCTATTAATGGTAGAGTCTTCAGAAAGGTGGGTGATCATTACCATCTAAATGTAAATAGAATGCTGGAGTTTTTTAAATGTATTAAACTTACATTAATTAGGAGGCTACTCTACATGCACAAGAAATACTACTTTTCATAATGTATTTAAACATCCATTGCACAGACTGAACTCTTAAAATGTTGTACAAAGTCCCTTTAACTTCAGAAAACCTTAATATTCACCTCTACTGTCTGATAAGATAAAGAAAGAAAAACCTGGCTCCTATGCATATTTTCAGCCACAAGTCAATCTCTTTTGGCCCCTTTGTAAGCATTTATACTGAGGTCTGGAGCAATACTAACCAATCAAAATGCACACGCAATTGCTTGTATTATATTGTATGAGTTCAGTGGTACCTATTCTACTCAGGGTAGCAGATACCATATGATCTCTGCTTACTTTGATATATAATCACAAAATAGATATTTGCTTAACTTTCTCTCCTTCATTAGTGTAAAATCTATTACACTTAATAAATTCATGACCATAATGAAGAAAATTCCAGGTATGTTCAAAAAATACATTCTGAATGACTGATTTAAAAACTAACTACCTGTCTACAGACACTCTTTTGGTGAGCATCTTAAACATAAATACAGTTTGACCAAGATTTTGCTTCAGTAAGTCTGGATGTTTGCTTCAACATCAATAAATATTGGAATAATATTAACATGCACTGTGGAAAGAAAGTATTCTGAAATTCTTCCAGATTTCAGGTTCATCCATTTCAGCCCATGTCAATGCTACAAAAGATGATGATCACCACGCCTTAGCACATCCTCACAGTACCAGAAAAAAGGCTAAAATAGAAGCTCAGTGGAATCAACACAGGAAACAGAATAAGGAAAGAGTCATCTTTTTTCATTACGACTGTTGAAGAAACAAATTGTCAAAATACAGTTCCTTTAAGATTGCGATTGACAAACCAACAAAGAGCAAAAATGTGCAAATACGATTTTTCACACTAACTCAGTACTGCAACACAATGTATGAAAAAATCACTTTTCTCAGACCCTCCCATACTTTCGTGTTCTAGGAGCAGGCAGGACATTCAAGTTACATTTATATGGCTATATTTTTATTCCAGTTTTTTTATGACCAAGTATACTAAAATGGAGCCACAAATGGAAGGCAATGGCTCATTCTGGAATGAAACCCAACATTAGAATTATATATAGAAAACACATTAATCCTATTTAAGGAAAATCAATTATAAGCAAAATTAGTTTCTGATGTCTATCTGTATACAGCTCATAAAGCATTAGGTACCATATATTACTGCTCAAGGAAAGCCAAAAATGGTGCTTTTAGAGTCTAGTTGAGCAAGGCTTCTTCTATACGTTAGATTCTGCTTCTTTAGATAAAAGGAGGACTCTTGACTACTACATTTTTATAGCTTATATCAGACTCCAAATACCTCTCTCCTATAAAAATTAAAGGTCTGTTAAGATTTAATCCATACTAACCTGGTTAGAAGAACCTGGATCTTCAGATACTGACGAAGGCATTTCAAAAGGGGCTGGCCAGGAAGCCCTTCCTACTTCATCACTCTCATCAGGAAGTGGATCTTCATGATGCTGTTCTGCAGTGGAAGACACTGGCTGAGCCGCTCCATCACCATTAATGCTGACAGAAAGACACATTCAAAGAGACTGAATTTGAGATTGTTATAATATTTAATGCCTAACCGATATTTACTGCATTTTATTTTCACAAGAGACACAAATGCAGATTTAGTTAAAAACTACTCAGCAACACCCATCTTGTAAATTCATCAGTTAGAGCAGAAAGACAGGTGTCCAGGATCATGTTAAAAATCCTTGAAAATTACGTGTTTTTCCGAGAGAGCAGTACTGCAACGTGTTTTCAACTAAATCATGCTCCAATACTAAAATATTTTAAATAAAGAACTTACTTGTATGAGCGTTATGTTCTTAAAACTACATCCTCTGGATTTTGTTTTAGGATAAAGAGACAGTTTCATATCTTTAACTTTTATTTCAATATAACGAACCAGAGAAAAGTAAATTGGGGTAGAACTCACAAGTTATGCAAATAAAAATATATAATCAAACTACCTGTAATACAAAAACTTGGAAAGTATAGCCTTCTGGTACCAGTGTTCTTTACTCTTCTTCTTTCTTTGCCACTTCTGATCTATTAGTCTTTGATAGAACTCTTTAAGCCACGTCCAGTCCCCCGTCTAAGCAGCATAAATAAGCATGAAATTAATGTGAAAACTTAGATTCTTTTGTTCATGTGTTAAGCATTTAGCAGATACAATATACCCATCCCACATGAAATGGCACAAAATAAAATAAAATCTGTTAAAAGATAAGTTTTTACAACAGTGCCTTGACATCTGAACTCTGAAATCAGTTATACTTAACATATTTCAGTGAAATCGACTCTTCAAAAAACAGATTATAGTTTCATGCAGTGTTAAAAGACTGAGTAATAGATTTGTAAAACCGTCCAGCAATATCAAAGACATTAAATGAAAAGGTGAGAAGGGGTATTTTAAGCATACAATGCCCTCAGTTAAAAAGATGCCTGATCTATTATTGCAACCTGTAGTTCTATAGGAACTAGAGAGAATCCACGATAACTAAGTGCTTTGTGAACCCCTTTTTCGCCTTTGTATACAATTCTCAACAATTTTGCTACATTTGCTATACCTTTGTGCTGATAACACTGCACTTGAAATACATATGCCAGGTGGCCAAAGACAAATGGTTAACCTGAGATGATCTCATGAAGAGCTCCTGAATATCTAGCTCATCCAGTAAAAGGGTTCGTCCAATACGGTGTACTGCCATGCTCACATGTGACTTGCTGTAAGGTATCTTCAGAAGTTTTTTAATGTTCTTGCAAAAAGACAAAACAGAAAAGTTATATTCCCCACAATTACACTGAATTATAAAGAGAAGATTTACTAATTAGAATGTTCAGAAATGAAAATCATGAGTAAAAAAAAAAATAGTACATTTTTTTTTAAAAGGACTAGTCACTTTTTTTTTTAAATATCTTCATTCAGCCATCTAATACTCCTGAACCAAGTATGCCTCAACTAGGTTTTCAAAAAGCCTCGTTTCTCATCTGACAAACACAAAAGGCACCATTTATGACAGCAAAAAGACCATCTTGTATCTCCACCTGTTTTCCACGTTCTGTGTTTCGCCCTCTGGCTTTCCTCCCCTTCCTCTTGCTCCTCTGGCCAAGCCTTGCTGCTTTTGATTTTAGCTGTAGTTCTAATAGTCCCCTCTGAGGGAGTACACCATGCTGCCCCAATGGGTTATCAATAAGGCTACGTTTTAGTCCTGGGTATTTTTAGTCAAAGACATGGACAGGACACAGGCAGTAAACAATTATTCACGACCCGTGACCTGTCCATGACTTGTACTATACACTCAACTAAATCTTAGGGAGTGGGGGCAGCCCAGGGTGCCGTGGGTGCTTGGGGGCCTCAGGCAGAGGCATGGCCAGGCAGCTCTGTGCACTGCCTCCACCCAGAGTGCTCCGCAGCTCCCATTGGCCAGAAACCACGGCCAATAGGAGCTGTGGGGGCGATGCCTGCAGGCGGGAAGCAGCACGCAGAGCCACTGGCCATGCCTTCACCTAGGAGCTGAGGGATGTCACCGCTTCTGAGGAGCCTCCCGGATATAAGCGCCACCCAGAGCCCTCACCCCCTCCCATACCCAAACTCCTGCTGCTGTCGGGTGCAGCTGGCCCAGGGGCTACTTGAGTTGCTCAGGGAGCCCCCAGGCCAGCCATACCAGCTGCTGAAGAAGTCACAGCATCTGTGACTTCCATGACAAACTTGCAGCCTTAGTTATTAAGCACAAGAGATCAGGATTGCTTGTCTATGAAGTTAAATCAAATGTATGTGCTCATCATTAGTCTAAGCAGAGCCCAATCCTATAGAAGTATATCTGGGAAAAAAAAAAAAAACCCAAGCCTTTGATATCAGTTGTCAGCACTCAAGAGATTACCACTCAGTATGCTACTACTTAAACTGCAGAGATTCTACTTATTATGTGTATTACCACAGGGCCTAAGGGTCCTAGTCTTGGTCCCATTGTGCTAAGTGCTGTACAAACAAAACAAAAAAAGACAGTACCTGCACTAAGAAGCTTACAATCTAGGTATAGGACAAGAGACAACCGATGGATACAAACCAATAGACAGAGGAGTAAAAGGAAGAAATGAGACAAAATTGGTAGCATGATGAGCAGTGGTCTCAGCAATCTAGCCATCAAGCGTTTAGTAGGCTTCACAGAAATGGAAAGTTTAAAGTAGGGTTTTGAAGGATGTTGATGTATTAGTTTTCTAGATGTTTACAAGTAGCTATCTCCCAGGCACCTCCTCCATGGTTGGGAGAAAGATGCTTGTTTGAAACTTTAGCAAATGAGAGATGATGGCACCATGGGGCCCATCAGAGGCTGGAGTTAACATCTCAGGAGTGAATGAGAGATAAGCAGGGGGGGATAGGCCATGAAAGGCCCTGAAAGCGAAGAGAAGCATTTGATTTGATAGAGAAACAGGAGCCAGTGAAGGGATGACATGGTCAAAGCATGGTGGATAGGAAAATTATCTTTGCAGCAGCACTCTGAATGGATATGAGCAAGACCAGAGAGAAGGATGATGAATTAACTGACATCATGAGAACCGAGACCAGAATTTAATTGTAGATGGATAGGAGAGTCTGTACATTGCATATTTTTTCATTCTGACATCTCTAAGATTTAGACATAGCCTAGATGTGAGGGAGGGAGGCCCGAGTAGAAGCGGACACCCAGTTCAAGAGCCTAAATGATAGGCAGAATGGAGATGATGTCCACGGTGATTGAAAAATGAGATAGTTGGAAAGGGGGAGATTAAGAACTCTGTTTTAGCTGCTTTGAACTTGAGCCCACAGCTAGACATCCATAAGGAGATGTCAGAGAGACACCAAGATTTTAGATTGGACAGAAGGAGACAGGTCTGGAGTACGGAGGTAGATCTCAGAATTGTCAACATAGAGATGGCAGTTGAATTTGTTTGCAGATGAGATTACCCAGAGATAAGGTGTAGAAAGAGAAGAGAAGGGGACCAAGGATGGATCCCTGTGGAACCCCCATAGAAAGTTGTTGGGGGGAGAGGACATGCTAAAGGAGTAATGCGAGAAGTAGGAATAGAACCATGAGAGGACAGAATCACAAAAGACAAGATTTCAAGAAGAGGAGCATGGTTGACAATGCTGAAGGTGGCTGACAGGTCAAGGAGCTTGAGGATGCAGTACTGCTTCTGAGCTTTGGCTAAGAAAAAGGCCAACAGTGACTTGAGACACACAAGGTGGTCCAATAAAAGGTATTCCCTCATCCACCTTGTCTCTCTAATATTCTGAGACCAACACAGCTACAATTACAATGCACACAACAATTAATGACTTTGGCAAGGACAGTTTCAGTGAGTGGTCACACAATGAAATTAATAGGCAACAGGTTTAAGACCAACAAAATGAAGTAATTCTTCACACAATGCACAGGCAACCTGTGGAACTCCTTGCCAGCGGTTGTTGTGAAGGCCAAAACTATAACTGGATTCAAAAATGAATTAGATAAGTTCATGAAAGATAGGTCCATCAATGGCTATTAGCCAAGATTATTAGGGATGCAACCCTATGCTCTGGGTGTCCCTAAATCTCTGACTGCCAGAAGCTGGGAGCGGATAACAGGGGATGGATCACTTGATATTGCCCTATTCTATTAATTCCCTTTGAAAGATCTGGCATTGGCCACTGTCGGAAGACAGGATACTAGGCTAGATTGACCATTGGTGTGACCCAGTATGGTCATTCTTATGTTTTGTTGAGTGCAAGAGGGGGAAACCAGATTGGAGAGGATCTAGGCTGGAACTGGAAGAGAGGAACGCCAGACTGCAATTGTAAACAATGTATTCAATGAGCTTTGAGATGAAAGGAAGAGGGTGGTAGTTGGAGATGCAAATAGGATCAAAGGGAGGGGGTGTTTTTTTTCTGTTTTGTTTGGTTTTGAAGATGGAAGAGACTAAAGCATGCTTGTATTGTGAGGGGAAAGAGCCAGAGGAGAGTGTGAGGTTCAGGCAAAGAGTAAGGGAGGAGATGAGAGTAGGCACAAGGGAGATCAGCAGATGGAATAGGGCCACTGGAATGTTAGAGGAGCAGCGCAGACAAGAATCTTCTGTGTCTGTGATCGGGAAGGAAGAGAAGAGAGTTATTGAAAAGGAATGGAAGGCAAGCTGAGTAGGAGAAAGATCATTTATTTTGTCAATTTTCTTTTTGACTAAATTTACAAGATCCTGTATGGAGAGAAGTGGAGACAAGATGGCAAAAAGGTGGCTGAGACTACAGACATGGGATTCTCTTCTCATTCGCTCCCCAGATTTCCTAGTGGGAATCTTATACAAAAATAAAAATATTCCTAAACAGCACTTGCAAAGGACTTGTGGGTTTCCCAATTTGTCTAAGTTTCATCCATTAGCAAATTATTGCAAATGGATTAAATATTATAGAGCTATTTCAATTAGCATGTGCTAACTTAGAGCTCACATAAGTCCCTTTTAGTTGATGTTAACTGAAAAGAAAACCTCCAACGCTTTTAAAACAAGAGAGGGATTTTTAAGTGAAAAAAGTTTGTACAAATATGGTGACAGCAAGTTGATAGAGTTCTTGTTACTCAGGATCATGAAAATGAAAGTAGAGGAAAGAAGTTGAAAACATAAGGTAGATGTTGAATATGCTACAGTAAACCAAATTCTCATAATGAAAACATTAAAGAGAAATTGTGGATTCATGTTTAAATGTTATTGCATAATGCCACCACAGAAAATACAAGGTTATAGAATATTAATTATGAAAAGAAATGTTTTAAATGCTTGAATTTAATACAAGAGATTTTCAAAGCAAAAAAGAAACCCAACCCCCCCTCAAGAAGTTATACCAAAATATTGTATTTCTGCAAGCCCTACAAATATCTTTATTTGGAGATAATGGTCATCTTATGCCAATACTTTTGAGAGTATATATGACAGCTATCTTATCTGTTAAGCAAACAGTAAATGTTTGAGTATTTACCAGAATGTTTAATTATCAAGGTAAAACAGGAGGCTCTATTTTTAAAGCAGGAAAGGTTGGTCCCATAACAATGTTATTCCACTGATAGTGTTTTGGGTATAAAACGCCTCACTTAGATGCAATTATTTTGTTGGAGGGTCGTTGGCAATAGCAGATAAACGGTTGTCCCCATACCATTACTGACCTACTGAGTTCCAAATAAGAGTATTAGGGAACAGACCTCTTGTAGGAGCTTTGAGACAGCAAGTCAGGGAACAGCTTAGTAATGGGTCTTCCTCACAACTATAACCTAGATACTAATATTTGACTAGGCGTGGGTATAAGCTACTAGAATGCTCTTCCCCTATTGCTAATGTGAGTTAGATATAGTAAAATTTACTGTAATGCATTCAAATAGGCTACTGAAGTGGTCCTCATCATGCTCTCATTCAGGTCAATAGCAAAATTCCGACTGACTTTATGGAGACAATATCATGAATGCTTGATTTTAGCAGCTCACCATTTCAATTTTTTCCCCAAATGTAAAATTATTTGGGGTGCCCCAATTTTCTTTTTCCATCCTCTTTGTTTCTCACTTTTCCTCAGTGCTCTTCTGTCTATCTGTATCTTTGGGTATGTCTACACTGCAAATAAAAACTCGACGCTATTTGTACTTTATTCATTCAGTTGTCACAACTTCCTTTGAACTATAAGCAAATAGCCAAAGTGAAATGAAGTTTTCTTAAATAATTTAATAAAAGATTAGTAAAACAAAATCACGGTAGCATAAGCCATTTTCTTAATCAAGATACCATCACAAAACTGAAGAATTATTGAACTATAAACGGCACATACCTCAGAATCGGACACAACATCCACATCATTTCCAACTGAGTCAATGAAGTCATATGCCATGCCAAAGCTATTTTAAAAAAATATTAGAAGTTTAAACCATTGCATTTTGACATTTAAAACATAACTGCTTGTTCCTCAAAGAACTTAGTGCCTCTTTAAGAAAACCCATTCTTTCATTAAAAAAAAAAAAAAAAAAAGAGTTTGTGCATTTCCATCTGTGAACAATTCCAGAATAAAAAAAAGGCAGAGAAAGTAAAAACAGGAATTCACTAACCTACCTAATTAAAACACATGTATTAATTCTGCCCACTGTTTAATGTTTTTTTTAAAATTCCCTGCTGTGCACAGGGTCCACAAGAGTAATGTGCCACTTAAGCCCTAATTTGGCAATTTAAGAGGTGTAAGCCCTGTGCATAGTGATTTTCATCCCAGATGCCAATCTGCTTTGAGTGATTTGCACACATTCAGCAGATCATCCCAGACTTGACACTGGCTGTGATACCAGAGACGCCTTTTTTCATTGCTGAACTTTCCTTGTCCAATTTCCAAAATATCAAACCACCACGTTTTACTAATTATTTTCCTTAGGTATTTGCCACCTATTTTTATTTTTAAAACATACATTTATTGTAGGCACTGCAAGAAAATTTCCATAAACGTGTCCATTCTTATTCCTGAATTTCCAAGCCCGCAGCCAATTCCAGACTAACAGTAAGTAGGCTACAGATTTGTTTCAGAATACTATTCCATTTCCTTATATGATCAAAGAGCAGAATTCCTATTACTACCTCAGTCAATCTAGCCTGACCAACTGATGCCATCCAATTGCAGGTAGTCAACATGAAGTGAGTTTGATTGTCTCAGTCCATTTGCCAGCATACACATCGCAAAAGCTACCATCATAACTGGAATTCTTAATCACCTTCTAAGCAAGACGGGATTAAAGCATACTGGGTGAGGGAAGGCAAGGGAGAGTGCAAAGACAGAGAAAGAAGGAGAAACAGAAGGGATAACAGAGAATAGGACAATCTGTAGTGATGTCAGTGTTACCTTGAAAATAGTTTGCTTTTCTTGCTGTTGCCAAGAATGGTTGTTCCTGCTGGCCCCAGTTTGGCGCTTTCACGTAACCAATTGGCAGGTGGAAGTTTCAAATCAGTCTTCTCTTGAAGACGGGCAAATGCTGCTTGTGGTGGGGCAGATGAATATTTCACCACAGCACTGCTTTTTACTTCGTTGCCGCCAAGAAATAACACTGATCCCTAGTTTGCAGAACAGAAATTAGAGTCCTTCATTCATAAATTAGTTTCTTAAAAAGTTATTAGACTTTACTTGATGTCAATTCAATTCCATTAACTGACGATACTAGGAATACAACTTAATTAAGGCCTAATCCTGTAAAGATTAACACGTTTAACTTCCCACATTGTGATGAGTTCCACTGACTTCAGTAGTATTCTTAAACTTATGCTTAACTTTATGTACTGTGAGAAACGCTACTTAAGTCAGTAGAACTTACCACAGGGCATAAAATGAAGCACATGCTTTATAAATCTTTGTATGATTTAGATTAAGAAAACATACTGCAGAACACTGGTCTCATTACAGATTAAGTATAATGCTTTTCACTATTATGTGCTGACAGAAATAAGGGTTCATAATTACATTTTTAACTAGCATACCTCAGTCCTGGTGTAAATATACAATTACTAACACAATTGAAGACAGGGTATTACACGTCAGACAACCTTAACTACATGTGCTGCTATGTGCTCTGCTTAAACTAGCGCCTTTCATTTTAAGCCTCCCAAAGTGTTTTATATCTATATTCAGAATATGTATCATTCCCATAAGATTAGTAATAACCAACCTGTATCAGCATATCACAGAACATCTGAACATCAGAAGAACAAACAGCAACATAAATGCATTTTAAGTATTACCACGTAGAAAACTGAAACAAGCCCTCATTCTGGTGTTCAGCTGTTTTGCAATGTGCCAGTTGCTCATTTTCTACCCCAGAGGTTACTGCTTTGTAGCAGTAATGTGCACGCTGTGTGTAGGAAAGGTCCTGATTCTGCAAATGAATCTGAGTGAACAGATCCGTAAGCCCAGGCAGACCCCCAAAGACCTGAAGTGGGGCCTGTCCAGGGTCTCTTTACTAGAACTTCTGGTTTCCCAACGCTGCATACAATAGGTGTAAAGTCTGAATATGCAACAGTCATGCATAGCAAAAGTAACCAGTACTCTCTTATATGACAACAAACATGCAAATTCTTTTAGACGAATGCCTTAGGGCAGCTTCATCTGGTCTACACTAGGATTTCTGACACTCTGGGCATAGCTACACTGGAAACTTCAAAGCGCTGTTGCGGGAATGCTCCCACAGCAGCGCTTTGAAGAAGTGAGAGTGTGGTCGCGCGTGAGCGCTGGGAGAGAGCTCTCCCAGCACTCCTGGTAATCCACCTCCACGAGGGAATTAGCTCCCAGCACTTGGAGCCTGCCTTCACTAGCACTTTAAAGCGCTCAGACTTGCTGCGCTCAGGGGGGTGATTTTTCACACCCTTAAGCCAGCAAGTTACAGCGCTATAAAATGTAAGTGTAGACAAGCCCTTAGTGTAACTACACCATGCAAATCCCTACTCTAGACAATTTATACTGGTACAGTTTACTTTAATTTGAAACTGAAGCGAACTTCCCCAGATCAGATCTACACTAGGGATCTGCACCAATGAAGCTATACTAGAAGCTGACATCCTAATTTAACAAGGCTATTTTTGTCTGTCTTGTACAGAACCAAATACTCTGTCAGTGCACAGCAAATAAATAATAAAAACTGATTACCCTGTAGAACCAATCATTTGTAATATTCCTTTTTATTAGAAAGGTTAGCAACCCCGAGTTTAGTGAGACCAGAGGGACTCCTATATTTCATTTCTAATGACTATTTTCAGAAGGCTAGGCTTTGCAACCCAATGGGGCACACAAGCATAGATACCAACAGTTACACTATGGCTAAACACAACAAAGATTCAATAGCCATGCCCCAAACCCTAGTTTTGGCTACTGCATTAAAATTCCAAAGAAATATTAAGGAGAGTAGGATTTGGGGAGCGGGGGGGGAGGAAGAGGGAAAGGCAGAGTGAGGAGAAGGAAGACGGGCAAGAAGGGGAAATGGTTTGAGGGGGTGGGGGGGGAGGGAGAGAATTTAAGGCTATGCTGATTTCTTCATTGAAAAACATCCAAATGGTGGCTTTGGAGAGCTCCTCTTCTTTCCCCTGCAGCTCAGGCACCACACCACTACACAGAGTAATTTGGCATACTAGGAAGTTTGCACTGTGGTAGTGTTGGATCGTATTAAAGAAGTTCTGTATTAAAATCACAAATGAGTTTGATTCCCCAGAGTTTAAATTCCAGGGTATTACTAATTAAGAGGTCTCTTGGTTTTTGGTACTGTTTCTCTCCCTCTATGTGTGAAACTTGCAAGCTGCTAATTGTGTTAGTACATTCTAAGACAGAGTCTGTTCTCAAAGCAATTCACAGAGAGACTCAAAGCAATACTTTAACAACAGAAACAGCACCCAGAGACTCCCCACCCTTTTGTTGTATTAACAATTGTGATTAAAATAGAGATAGAGGATGTATGTGGATGGATGCTTGGTGTGGATAATAACTGAATGATCAGGGAGGTGCCAGCCTAAGAATCCAGTGTCCATCGGCTGAAGAAGGCGTCAAGTGGAAATAACCAGAGGACCCCCCGGAGGGCAGACTGGAATCCATCCAACAGCCTCAAGAATGGGAGAAACAAAGAACAAGATAACATCTTGGAGCCGTCAGGAATGTGCTATCTGCTGATTGATTCAGCAACAGCATGATGAAGCAATTCCCATAGACTGGCATAGGAAGAAATTCCGATAAAAATAGACTCTAAAAAGTGAGAACTTTGGGGTCTGATTCTGCAAACCAACTTCCAGGAGCATCAGATGAGCATCTGACAAGGCCCTGCTCCCTCCTCATGTCCAGGCCACCTGGCCAGTGGCTTGGCATGAGCAACTCTAAGGCTGGTAACTATGATAACAACCTTGCAGAACCTGTGTGTGTGTGTGTGTTTGTATGAATGAATGTGTGAATAAATATGAGATTGAATGGAATGTTATAACTATAACTAACTGCTTACTATGACTCTTTCTGTATTCACAATAAATGTGGTATTTTGCCTTTTTCCCTTTAATAAGATCCTGCTGGTTTTTATTTTATTGGTATAACAGTAGCAGTTCATTATTATCCTCACAGGGTATGTCAGTTTACTACATGTTTGCACTGTTGTTTTAGCTGTGTTGGTCCAAGGACACAAGGAGGTGAGGTAATATCTTTTATTGGCTCAATCTCTGTTGGTGAAAGAGACAAGCTTTCAAGCTATACAGAGCTCTTTTACGGGTCTGGAAAAGGCACTCAGAGTATCACAGCTAAATACAAGGTGGAACAGATGTCAAACTGCAGTGTAGGCAGCAATGCACCCCACCTACTAAACTGACGAAACTGTACCTAATGGGTGTTCTCTAGAAGCCATTCTTACTGTGATAGAAGAGAAAGTGAAGCTAGATGTGTGGTATTATAAGTTTCGTTGAAAGAGGATGGCTAATGAACCCTAATTGCATAGAGGACGCTTATTAATAACTGCCAATATTTAAAAGGTCACCTTTACATGTTTACCCTGAAACCAGGTCACCTCTATGAAGCAGAATCCAATGAAAGAAATTGAACTCAGTAGTGATCATCGCAAGGTGCAACGTTGACAAGATAAATAGATGTCTATTTTATCTAAATTTAGCACATTTTATGGAAGTACTTTACAAGCTCTCCCTCATCCTAGAGAAATATATTCCCAGCAGCTCCTCTGGAGTAGGCCCATATTTGTTTCCCCTCTTCAAGACAGGAGAGAGCTGGCTTATTCACACTCCTGCGGGCCATAAATTATATCAACATAAGTGGTAGTGTGTATGAGCCCTAAGTGCAAAGTAGGGAAGAGGAGCATAGTCTGAGCACACTCAAATTCATTCTAGACACTGACCCTCTGACTTTGGGAAACAGACTTAACCACTCTTGTTTTCCTGTCTTGAAGAGGGGAAGGGCCTGTGGCAGAGCCAAGAGTTGAGCAGTGAGCACCCCCCAACACAGTGGAAAGTTGGCACCTGTAGCTCCAGCCACGAGTTGGTGCCTATACAAGGAGCTGCATATTAACTTCTGAAGAGCCCCATGTGGCTCGGGAGCCGCAGGTTGGCCACCCCTGGCGTACACTATCCCGAAGCGGCAGCCCACTCTACCTGTCCAAAGAAACCAGCGGGGCGGGTCAGCCACCTCAGGGCGCTCTCTTTCTAACTATAAGTCTGGGCGATGAAGGCTGACGCCGAGGCAACGGGAAACTGCCACCCTGTCAGCGTGCCGGAGTGACACCTGGTAATCCCACCGGTGCGGAGCGGGTGCCCAGGCCCCCTGGCTTGCTGACACCCCCTGCCCCGCACCTCCGGGGGAAACCGTGGACGATACCCCGGCTACGGACACCGGTGCGAGTCCGCAGGGCAGACACCCCGGCGTGTGTGTAGACGGGGGAAAGGAGCGGGCGCCCCGGGTCCAGGACATCGGGTGAGGGAGCGGAGCCCACAAGCGGACCGGGCCGCAGCGAACCGCGAGCTGCAGGCTCGGAGCCCGGGGGGAGGCTGCCGCTCACCTGCTTGAGCTCCTCAGGGTCTCCCTTCAGCGCGACGGGCCCCCCTAAGTCGCTTCCCGCGGCGGGGTCCGCTTCAGCACAGGCTCCCCACGGCGGGGGAGCTCCTGTGCCCTCCATTGGCTCCGTCCTCAGAGCCAGCCCAGCCCAGCCCAGCCCAGCCCCGGCGGGGGCAGAACCGGGAGAACCGTGAGGCCGCGGCTGCCACCAGCGGCCCAAGAAGCGGAGGGGAAGGAGGAACGGAAATCTCGCGGAGAAGGCTTCTTCTCGCGGGACTTGCCGAGCGCGGCTGGCTGCCGGCGCAGCCCTTGTGTACGCTCGCGGCTCGCAAATGTGCTTCGGCACGTGCGTCTTTGGCCGGGTCTGGCCGCGCGCCGGGCGCTCAGGCGTCAGCGAAGGCTGCACTGTGGGGAGGGGCTTGTTTCGTGTCCGTGCCTGTGGCCCTCATAAAAGTAACAGCAACGAGTCCGTTGCATGTTGGAGTGCGCGGAAGTGGCGCCCGTGTGTGCAAAGTGCAGCAGCCAGTAAGAGAATATCATAATGCCATAAATCCATGGTATGCCCATACCTTGACTACTGTGTGGCGTTCTGGTCGCCCCATCTAGAAAGAGCTATATTAGAACTGCGAAAAGTAGAGAGAGGGGCTAGACAAATGATTGGGGTATGGAACAGCTTCTGTGTGAGGTGAGTTTAAAAAGACTGGGACTGTTCAGTTTAGGAAAGAGGTGACTAAGGGGGGTATGATGGCTATACAGTCATGACTGGTGTGGAGAAAGTGAATAGGGAATTGTTTTTTACCTCTTTGCATATCACAAGAACAAGGTGTCACCCAATAAAATTAATAGGCAGCAGGTTTAAAACAAACATAAAGTACTTCTTGAACTCATTGATGGGGGTGTTGTGAAAGCCAAAAGTATAACTGGGTTCAAAAAATCAAGTATTGGGTAGCCATGTTAGTCTGTATCTACAAAAACAACAGGGTGCCACCAGACTCCTTGTTTTGGGGTTCAAAAAAGAATTAGATAAGTTAATGGAGGGTAGGTCCATCAATGGCTACTAGCCAGGATGGTTAGAGATACAACCCCATGCTCTGAGTCTTCCTAAACCTCTGGCTGCCAGCAGCAGGGACTGGACAACAGGGGATGGATCATTTGATAATTGCCCTGTTCAGTTCATTCCCTATGAAACATCGGGCACTGGCTACTCCTGGAAGACAGGATATTGGGATAGTTGGTCTATTGATCTGACCCAATATAATTATTCTTGTGTTCTTACAGTAAGCGATCTCCATGAGCTTCCTTAATATTAAGACTAATGGCATCCAAATTATTGCTTTGATCTGTAATTACCAGACATTCTTTAGCTGATGCTTACAGAAGTTACAGCACTCTGACTAGTCAGTTTAGCTTGTGTTGGGAACTAAAGCCTGGAGGTATGTTGGGTAGTATAATTTAAAATTGAATGGTTTCAGAGTAACAGCTGTGTTAGTCTGTATTCGCAAAAAGAAAAGGAGTACTTGTGGCACCTTAGAGACTAACCAATTTATTTGAGCATGAGCTTTAGCTCACGAAAGCTCATGCTCAAATAAATTGGTTAGTCTCTAAGGTGCCACAAGTACTCCTTTTCTTTTTAAAATTGAACGACAGCTTCTTGACACCTGGATGAGGTTAGGTAGTTACCTACACGTGACAGATCTTTGCACTTTTATTTACATTTTCTTTTTAGTTAATGCAGTTGTCATTCACAGATCTCACTATCCATGTGTGTTCTTTTGTTAGCTAATTAGTAAGATGAGATGTAGAATATTAAAGCACCAGGAGCTTTGGCCCAGAATCTCAAAGGCACGCAACTCTCATTAAAATAAATGGTAGTTAGCCGTATAAATACCTTTGAGGAGCTGGACATTTGTACTTGCCTGCAGTAAATGGCTTGCAATGCTCCAAACCATTCATATTTAGTGTCAGTTTTTTCTTGCTGCATTTTCCACTATGGCATTTGGTTCCCTTTAAAGTTAGACTAACCCATCCACATTTTATAAAACAAGCCAGCATCATCTAAAACGCAAATGTCATTCTCTGAACAGTTTATAAGAAGATAAAGACAAGTGTTGTTTAGTCTCTAGATTAGTCAGGACTTTTGGGTTCTACCTACAGTAGTGCCAAGACTCACTGTGGGACCTTTAGTAAATACTTCACCTCTCTATGCCTCCTTTCTCTGTCTGTAAAATGGGCAAAGCAGCCCTAGTATTCCGTTGACTGTTATTCTTCACTTACCTTCACAAAAATGTTTGTGAAGTGCTGCTAAAAAAAGAAAATGGCTGCCATGTCCACCTCAGATGAAGTGATCCCACTGTTTACAGATTCCTTCCAGAGAGATGTTGCAGATTATATCCCACTGTCATCTGACAATTTCACCATTTGTTACCTTGAATTTCTCATTGACAGCTCTTTCCTTGTAGCCTGATTTGTGCCCTGTGATCTCATGGGGCTATTTTCAGCAGACAGAGCCAACTAGTGACAAGTTTGCTACATTTGTTCACTAGTACAATTCCCCAAGGATTTACTGGGGAGGATTTAATAGACTTCTGAAGTATCAGTGAAAGAAAGAAATATCTAATACCTATCTTGATATCTCTTTACCTAATTAGATGTTTAATTGCTTGGGGAACTAGTGTTCTTCATTTAAAATAAAAATAATGGAAATTCTAATTATTTATAAAAATGAGAATTTTAAACAAAGCATTTATTTATTGTTAGTTTTAGAGACTGTTTATCATATCTAATGTTAACAACAGTTGCTCCACTATTTGTGAGGTTCTGTCAGCCCTTCCACTGTAAGTCCCATCTTGAATGCATATAAAATATTTGCCATAAAAATTAATTCCAGGATGAATCTTGCATATAGATCTTATATGATAGGCACAGTTTCTAGTTACATAGTTCAGAGGGCAAATCCTGATATTCCCCATTCACCCAGTTTTATTAGGTCTCGCTACAGTTTCTGTGGAAACATCTCTAGCTTTGACTAACCTAAATGATTTTATATTTGCAAATTTTACCACTCCATGATCACTCCCTTCTTCAGCTCATCTAAAGCAATTTAATTAGGTCAAGAAGATATTATGGATTTCATGTTATGGGAACCCTTGAACATATTATGGGGTATATGTATGTAAACCTTCACTCATGGGGGAGGGGGAGGGGGAGGGAGAGGAGGAGGGGAAAGGGAAAGAAGTGGTTCAGAGGAGCTCAGCGCCAAATGGAAAATGTGGAGGAAGGTTAGTTTTGTGGCTACGGCACCAAACTAGGATCAATTCCTGGCTCTGCCACAGACTTAGTTAATTATCTTTAATGATCAGACATTCTGCAGCAGAATCAGAATGTAGCCCAGGCTGCAACTTCAAAGTGCTGTCTATATAGCTATTTTCAGAGCGCTAACGCAAGCCCACTAACCCAAATCTCTTAGCCTTCCATCTGGGAGGCTTACTCCAAATGTTGTGTAGACATACCCTTAGGGCAGGGGTTTCAAACTCGCAGCCCGTGGGCCATCTGCGGCCCGCAAACCCCCCAATGTGGCCCGCAGGGCTCCAGCAATTTTGGGGCCACCTCTCTCCCTTGGCCCCACCTGCTGCCCCCAGCACTCCCCCCCAGGGGCCCCAGCAGCACAGGGGAGCAGAGCAGCATCTGCCTGCTCGCTCCACTGGCTGCCAGCCCCTCCCTGTGGCTCCGGGGTGGGGCAGGACTGTGCTTCCCCGCTCTGCCCCCGCCCCGAGCGCCCCTGCAGCCAGCGGGAAGCTGCGGGGGTGGTGCCTGGGGGCCACAGCGCACGGAGGCCCCCCCGGCCCGCCCCTCTTTGGAGCCCCAGGTAAGCACTGTATCCCCACCCCCTCCAAGAGCCTGCACCCCTACCCACACCCCCCAGCCCCCAAACTCCCTCCCAGAGCCTGCACCCCCACCTCCTCCCCACATACTCCCTCCTGCCCCAAACTCCTTCCCAGAGCCTGCGCCCCCTCCCCATGCCCCCCAACCTCCCTCCCAGAGCCTGCACCCCTTCCCACACACCTCTTCCAAACCCCCAAACTCCCAGAGCCAGCATCCCCCTTCCCACATACCCACTCCTGCCCCCTAACTCCCTCCCAGAGCCTGCACCCTCTCCCGCTCAAACTCCCAGAGCCTGCACCCCTCCTTTCCGACACACTCCCTCCCACCCCCAAATTCCCTCCGAGAGCCTGCACCTGTCCCCCCTCCTCCCTCCCAGAGCCCGCAACCCCACCCCCTCCTCCTGCGCCCCCACTTCCTGCCCCAGCCCAGAGCCTGCACCCAACACCCAAACTCCATCCCAGAGCCTGCACCCCAATCCCGTACCCCAGACCTCCTCCCCCACCCAAACTCCCTCGCAGAGCCTTGGGCAGGTGTGGGGCAGAGTTGGGGGGGGTGGGTTCTGGGTGGCATGAGTGACATTATTGGCCTGCTGGGAGGATCTGAGGACTGGCACTGGTCCTAAGGTAAATTGAGTTTGAAACCCCTGCCTTAGGGGAAGATTCTGCCATCCTTATTCAAGGTGCTACTCAACAAGAATAAGAGGAGCAGATCTAGCACTCACTACTGTGCTTCACTGCCCCATTTGTAAAATGGGAGAAAATACTTCTTTGCTTCATTGGGATTGTAAGGATAAATTCATTAGTGTTTGGGAGGTGCTCAGATACTGGCAAGATAGAGCCAGTATAAGTTATCTAGATAGGGAGAGCATTCTTACTGCCTCTGCCAGATTACTGGTGGGAGAGTACACAGCAGGATCTGTGTTAACCTTTAACAGGGGGCCATGTGTTTTCCTCCCAACACTGGTTCAGCTCCCTTAGCTGGTGTTACTGAATAGGCACGCCCGTGATACACCCTTGTGTTCCCTACATCTTTGACGGTCTAATACTGCTGCCAGTAGACGTTTCTTGTCCTTGCACGGGTGCAGAGACTGAGATTGTAACTCACACCATCCATCAAGGTTGTGAGCAGCAGGGAGAAGGTTCCTTTCACCCATCCACTCTTTGTGCACCTGTGCAGGCCAGCAACAGTCCTGCCTTCAGTATTCTCACTACAGTTGGGCAAATGTATTTTTTGCTTTTTTTTGGCTATGACATGTAGGAAATTTATTTTAATGTATGTATTTATTTTGCAATGGAAAAGAACCTAAATGAATATCTTGTGTTTCCATTACCTGGCTGGAATTAAGGCATGTT